CAGTTAGAAGTCTGTTACAGCGGCACAGATCCATTTAATTTGTTTACCTTCTTAATCCTGAGTTTCCCAATATTATACTTTTCATTCCGCGAATTTATTCACGAATTACATTCTATATCTAGTCTTTTACTGCCTCTGATACTACTACTACTACTACTACTAATAATAATAATAATAATAATAATAATAATAAGTTCATTTCGCTGTACTGATGTGAGTATCACCGTGGGTCGATGTCTACTTGATGCATATTCTTTTGTCTCTTATAACTGACTGACGGACAATCGTTAGGCAAAATACATTCTAAATAAAATTATATTCATTGCACAAAAAGATTTAAATGGAAAGCATGCCATTCAATAGGTTTTATCTTGTCTATTTTTTTACAGCTATCTGATCCACTTGACGATGTAGCTTGGAAAATTATGGTAAGTTCTAGCTGAAGACGTACTTATTCGGGACGTTTTTGTCATCAGTCTTGAATATCGAAGTGCCCTGTGGGCAACGTAATGCTTTTTTTAGAGTTACAGTATTATTAGAATACTATAGGTTATCTAGTGAAGGAGTTTAGTGTTCGAAGAATAGCTTCGAATCGGTCGAGTAACGTCGTGAGCTTTAACATAGTGTTATTTATGTAGTTGATATGTCAATCCGAAGTGACCTGATTGGTCAGCGAATAAAGAAATATCTAGTACATCGCATATCTCTATTGTAATATATGCCTCTACTTATTATATTACCCCAAAAATAACTTATTTCGGCTCAAATCTAGTTGATCAGACTGTCTGGTTATTGAGTGCGTGTCCCATGTGAGATTAAGCAGCACTGACGCTTTGACAAGACTTCTCAAATTAATTTAAGTTAAATTATATGCGTGAAATAAAAGATTTGAAGCATTAGATATGTGTATACAAATGAAATAAAGATAGATGACTGATTACCACTTATTCAAATATGATAATCTAAATACAAGAGAGCATACAATTAACTAGCCGGTATTACGCTCTTGCAACATTACGGTAAACGACAAGCTTAATAAATAGAAAATGATATTTATATATTTAGAAGGGTTAAGTTTGAAAATAAATGAAATGTATGCTTATAGTGATACTGTCGTTTGTCGTAAATTAATTGAAAAATCTGCTTATATACTCACTTAAATTACAGAAATAAATGCTTAACTTTCCTATTACAATTTCTCTTGTTTAAAATTTTTTTTGGGTCAATAGCGAAAGATGGGTTATGAACATGGTCAAGGATTGGGTGTTAATGCTCACGGTGTAGTTGAACCGGTTGCATTGAGTAAACAAAAAGGCAGAAGTGGTCTCGGTTCAGTAAGAACAACATCGTCATCTGATAAAAAGATTGAATCATTCTCAGGCGAACTCTATCAATCTTCCAATCCAAATTTAGTCTGGCATGAAGGTTGTGATGATGATTATACTACAGCTGATGGAGATCGTACGTGGTCATGGTCAATGGAAGGCGGACCTTCTATTAATTCCTTATTGGAATTGAATTCTCTAATTATCAGTCCCGATGAACCGGAGGCTTTAGGTCCGCCTATTGAAGAGTTAGATAATGAAGATAAATTCTGCTCGATCCATCTTGTTCAAGAAGTTCTAAATTATAAGGTTCGCTGACGTTTCTCAACTAGTTTACATAGTTATATATGTTTTGTAAAAAAGTAGTAGAATATTTGATTGTTAGTTTATTTTCGAGACATTTACACACATTTTTAATCGTCCATTTAGTTTACTGTATGTCCAGTACTAGTATAAAACTAGGTTTTGAGAAAATTGGGGACATTCAAATGGGGAAGTGGGATAAGTTCAAGAATATTTTGTCTCAGTAATCCCCGCGTTGATGTATAGACCTTCTGGTTGGCGTCATCTCAATCGTAATCAATGGTAATGTTGTTTAAAATTGATTTCAGGGGGTTCGAGTGTATTTATTCTCTGTTCACTTCTGAATTTCGAGTTTCAATAATAACAAATTTTATTATCTGAGTTGATTTCTTCTGAGTGATTGCGTTGCGACTCTCAGTCTCTTGAATGGATATCGGTAACCGAACCCCTGGTTAGGTTACTGGTGATATTTCAGAATTGAGTGAATTATCTTGTTCTTTTCTACGGATTTGAGTTGGTTAGTTTGTATTTGGAGTTTAACATCACGAACTGATTTCGGTTAAGCATTCATTGGAAATAAGGAAGCTCTGGACAACTGTCTAATCCCACTGTGGGATCACTTAGTAGTGAGTATTTATGGGTCCACCATTGAGGATAGAACTCAGAACCTTCAGGTTTAACTATGAGCATTTAACCTTTAGATTATTGAGTTGATATCCAGTGGCCAACATGTCTAATTCCAAAATAACTCGTAATATTTCGCAAGTCATCCATTGTCAGTGATGATACTTCTCTCACCCCCGACATAGTCGAACTCTACTAGTCACAACTTCTCACTATAACTTCGCGAATCACATTTCAAAGTTAGTCATTGGTAAGCACATGTTAGTTATTATAGAATGTTGTTAAAATCGTATTCAACATCCAGCAATTGACATTTGATTACATAGACTGCGTTTAATTTGGCTGCACATTTTTTTCCTCTTTTGTCTTTGTATTACATTTGGGATGATAATCTAATCATCTTTCTCATTCGTCTTCTTACTTATGTATAGAATCAGTTGGATTATTTATCAAAATTGAATGTCACTAAAAGTCATGAACGTTGTAATCCATATGAATTGATAAAGAAGGGGATTTTTATGAACAGGTAAATATGATGATGTATTAGTTTTGTTATTTGTTATTTTATAATCAATATTATTATGATCTGTTAGTTGACAGTTAGTTGCCAAAAATTCCAGTGCAAAGATCCATAGTAATTATATAATCAATCGAGTACACATCGTATAAATAGTGACACAGTTATAGGTGGAATAACATAGATATTAGAATGATTATTTATTTATTTACTTAAACACATAAGTTTTGGTACAAAAAGGCACCAAATACATATGCGAAACACTTCGTCATTTGATTTGTGTGAGGGCCAGGATATTGCACGGGTCCCCAGACAGAAGCAGGTGGTTTTCTTAAAAGACCACTCCCCGAGCTTTTGATCTAGAGGTCTAATCCACAAGGCAGTGAAGCAACGTTAGGAGATGCAATCTCATGTTAGTAGGTGAACATCATTGGGTTCATACGCCATTTGTTTCCTTAAGATCCTGGAGTCCATGTGCGCGATTGGTTTGAATTTAGGGTTTTCAAACTCCTCTAAGTGTATCCTCCGTATCCATCTATACCAACGTGGTTAAAGCACCGGACATTCGCTTTTCGTCCTTTCAATTTCGTAAACAATACCCTTGCTTCGAGAAGGCAGTGAGTAGGACGTCGTTGTCAGTTGCTGTCAAGGCGTGTCCATGTGAGAACATTTGACCTTCCCCACCCTTAAACCGTACCAGGGCGTTTGGGGGCGTAAGAATGACTAGTCATTTATGTACATACTTCATTAGTTCTACGCCTTTCCATCGAAATAGTCCAAGTTGAACAACATAATGATAATGATAATTAACTGTCAAATATGAAATGACAATTGTTGACTTCATCAATATTTCTTTACAACATTGATGCTGCAAATTATACCATTTTAAACTTGTGTTAATTTTATTTCATCATGGTGATATAGTGTGGCAACTTAGACTAACCCATATTTATGCCAAGTTTTACGTATTGATTATGACTAGCTAATCACCTCAATCATTTCAACATATTGATCTACCTCTCATAAATAATGATATCCATTCTAACAGTAATGATATCTAATTCAGTTTGTAATGGTTTCTTAGTTTCTAATCCTAGCCACATTTCATGTATTCTGTAGTGGTATTTGATTGATTAAGCTTAGACAGTTTTCATTGTAATCATTTGCAATAATGAGAATTGTTGAAATATTATGGAATTTGACCATTTAAAAGTTGAAGTAAAAAATGAATCATTTCAACTATTCGGTTATCATGGAACAGGTATTCTCTCCTGTACTTAAGATTTAGACATTATATACACTATTATTATTATTATTATTATTATTATTATTCCTACCACTATTATTAATCATTTAGAGCTGCAATGAAAATGGCCAACATTGATTCAATCTTTAATGGAATGTTCACAACTGCTGCTCCAAAAGATGTAAGTGCGTTTTTTTAAAAGTTAAATGAAAGAGAAGCGGTCATGTTTATTTCACTGTTACATTTCTTCAAATAATTCTTCTCACATTGGGAATGGTTAGGTGGAAAGAATAAATGACAATGTGATTATTTGGAGGTTGTTTTCTGTAGCTTCAGTTTATGTATATGTGGATTTATTTTTATCGTCAACTCATATATAAGCTTCTGTTTGACTTTCATTAACTTGGAAGCATTGGACGGCCAGTGCTTCCAGGTTTTCCATGGTGATCTAGCTTCAACTGACTCATGATCTTAACCATTGAAATTACTACAATCTCCACAAAAACCCATCTGATATTTTCATTAACTTGTTTATCATATCATTTTTCATTTGTGAATTAAATTAAACATAAACCTCCTACTACTCAATCTTGTATGATAAATGTCTTAGTTTTGTATATGGTAAGATTTAGTATTTGTGGGTTTACCTTGTATTTTCATGTATTATATAATCACATGTTCTTTAAAGTTAGAAGAGTACAAAGTTATTTAACTGGTTATCTGATAAGTATATTGTTGTAACGGTAATTATGACTTTCTTCAACTTCAACTGAATTGTTTGATTTAAACGAACTATTATTGTAATGTGTTTTGGGCTTATCTATATCCTGTATCACCGTATATACTTGATGGAACTATCAAAATCGTTTAATGTTTCATTTCGTCCCTTTTATAATGAAACGATCAAAGAAATTCGTCATTAAAATAATTGAAGTGGTTACTTTTTTCCACCAGACGGATCCCTAATATCTGGCGTAATAGAAATGTTTCGGGACAAAAGAATAGCTAAACACTGTGGATATATAAATCACGAAATTAAATCTACTATGTACATATGAAATACAATGAATGTGTAAAGTTATTTGTCGGCTAGCTGAAAATCAGATGAGGGTAAAATTGCAGATCATCAATATTTAGCATATTAACTCGTAATTTCCAGTACTGTCCAACAAATACTCTGGTAGTCTCAAATAGACCAGCGCTGAAATTAGGAATAACACAGTGGACACACTTGTAAGTATATTATGTTTTTAACTTGGATTTGGGGCGTATCAATAAACAAAGAGATTATTAGCTAGCACACAGCTTATGCAAATGTCGGGCTTTATGTAACCACTGAAAAATTCCCATTATATTAAAACAAGAAATGTATAAGGAATACTCACTTCAATTATCTCAAATCTTTGCACTTGACTTTTGTAGTCAACACGTTATCAAACACTTTATCAGAAATATTTACATTGATCAGTAGGAAGAGTTATACTTGAGGCATTCTTAAACTCTATAGCCCCAGGATAAATGGTCCGCAATCAGTAACCAAAAATTCACAGGTTATAATTTAACAGTTATCATCTCTGATCAGCAAGTTACAACATTCGAGAATAGGGAGTTTATGACCAGTCACATTCGAAATAAAAAAATTTTTCAAGCTTGATTGTAGCATTGCAATCTAATAATGTCAACTTGTCAACTAAAATGATAGGTCTGGTGCTCAATGTTAACAATAGAATTATGAGACGAACTGTCGAACAAACTTTTCATATGATTTTATAGTACTTTGAGAGTTCCATAATGGCTTATCTGGAAATGCCATATTCAAATTTCCCTTGGGATTTCATTATTCACTAACACGCCCCAAATTTTAGTTAAAAATATAATATACTTACAAGTGTGTCCACTTTGTTCTTCCTAATTTGAGTGCTCACCCATTTGCAAATACCACAGAACGTGTTGAAAAGCACTGGAAAGTACGAGTTTGTATTTGGAATCCAATCCTATTACTTATTTTTGCCCTTTAAACATTTTTATCATACATGTTGAAGATAGTCTTTCAGCTGTTCTGAAAGAACATTGCTCTAGTTAAAATCAGTAAAGTAGTTTTATAAAAACCTTTTCTCCATCCTATACCTTTTTTTAATTGTTATTCACTGAATACAAGGAAGTACATTTATTCTAATGTAATGCGTGTAATCTTTTTGCAACAACACTTATCATAAACCATATTTTCAACAACAAAAAAAACTCGTTGAATCAATGTAGAAACTGGCACGCTCTGTTCGCTAACTACCATGTGCAACCAGTGTAGTAGTATAGAATTCGACCTTTTTTGAGATGGCGAAGAATTGTAGCTTAGGTGGGTGATTTAGGTTTATTTTTTTCTCTGAGCTGGATGGTTTGGTCGTGGAGCTTTCTTCTGAACGACATCATCAGCACAAACTTCAGCTCAGAGAACAAAATTCCACCTAAATTCGATTAGATAAAGATCAGACCTCAGCAGATGATACTACCTGACAGTGTCTTTTGTCAACTGATTGCCTTTGAGAAATGTGAAACACTGAGACGTAATGTTTTTTCTCAACAAATGTGGTTCGACCTAGTACATACAATTAAAGTGTCTCCCTATTTCAAATTAATTACTTATTTAGGTAGCTTTCAAATAATAAACGAATGTGTTCTAGTTTTATATCATAAGTACAACTTTGGTGAATGTTATATCCCAGTGAAGATTAAATTACTAGTAACTAGGATATAACAGTGAATATGTTATATTAAAAAAGTATGAATGTCGAAGCGTAAATAGAATTTTCAGTAAATATCGTCATTTTCATTTTATTTGTGTGTGGGCTGTTACTGCCCGGGTGCCCAGGCCGAAGCAGGTGGTTTTCTTAGGGGGCCGCACCCCGAGCCTTCGACCTGAAGGTCTGATCCACAAGGCAGTGGAGCATCGTAAGGAGATGCAGTCCCATGGTAGCCGGTGACTAACGATTGGTTCATACGCCATTTCTTCCTTCAGGATGCTGGAGCCCATGTGCGCCATTGGTGTGGAATGAGGGTTTTCCAACTCCCCTAGGTGGACTCTCCGTGTCCACGAACCCGGTTAAAGTGCCGGACCTTCGCTTTTCGTCCTCTCAATTTCGTAAACAACACCCGTGGTGTGAGAAGGCAATGAGTAGGACTTCCCTAGCAGAGGCTGTATGGGCGTGGTCATGTGAGAGCATCTCGGCCGTACCAGGGCATTTGGGGGCAATTAGAATTCAGTAAGTTCCATAAAACAAACTATAATTTTGTTAGTATTGCACTTCTCCCCTTTAATTATCTTTAAATTACACATTGAACACGACAAATATTTACTGTAAATTATAAATTTTCTCTTATCGTCATACTTTCCATTTTACACAGGATGTATTATATTTTGCTGATATATGTGCTGGTCCTGGAGGTTTCTCAGAATATACTTTATGGCGACGATGTAATGCTCCATATCATATTCACTCATCAAATGAATCGAAACGGCTTAACAATACACTCAGTCCTAATCATCATTCCAATATGAATGATAAACTACTAGATGATACTACTGAATCTGTCGATCATAACAGTTCTACTAATAATACTAGTACTGCTTCAGAGAAGCAACAACCATTACTGTCTGCTAAAGGATTTGGTTTAACATTAACCGGTCATTGTGATTTTCGTGAAAATGATTTCTTGGCTGGTCCAAAAGAAGCTTTTATGGCACATTATGGACCAGGACGTGATGGGGATGTTACAAAATGGTCGAATTTAGCTTCATTCGCATCATTTATTGGTCGTAGTACAAATAATGCTGGTGTGCATATTCTAATGGCAGATGGAGTTAGTTCAGTGATAAATTTCTTTGTGATGACGATAGTGTATTTCAAATCTTGTTCAAAAAGTTTTCTTATATGTTTATCTGTTTACTACCTAACTTTTTAGTTTGACATTGGAATTTTCTCAAAAGAGAAAGTTTTAAACTTGGTGCATGGGATTTACTACATTTTAGGAAGTTTGTATGATTTATATCTCCCAGTAATTAACAGAATCTAAGATTATAGTCTTACTCACGAAACCATTAGTCAACATTCCAGTTTATTATTACATGTGGAGTTACTTTTTTGGTGAAGGCTTCCAATCAGTAGTCGTAGATCTTAGGTTTGAGCCCCATTTTGATGTAGTTAGGAATGTAATAACAATAGCCTTCAAACAGGGATGGATAATTTAAGGCTGAGTTCATGAAATTATACTTGGCAAATGAGTTAGTTCTTGTAATCACTATGTAATTTACTCTGTGTGACTTCATTTCATATTTCAAGTGATCAATCAGTCACAAGAGAGAACCTATACATATGTATATCGGTTCAAGTTATCATACTCCATTAGCACAGAGAAATGAAGTTGTCAGACAAAATCCCACAATAGTAGAGGTAGTAGCAGGTATCAGTGTTAATAGGAAAGATTACGCATTGAAGATACGAAGATGCTGTATTGCCTGCTTTAGTGTGAATACAGTTATTGTCACATTGGAATTGCAGATATTCGTCCCATGTAATCTCAATATTTGCTTTCTATAGTTCATATAAAATAAAAATTTTCACATCAACAAATGTTGTGAATTGTCAGCTGATAAGAATACCGATTGTATTCTACTTTTACAAAGTGGACCTAACGTAACTAGTTAGAATGTACAATTATTGCTCGATGAAACTCCAACTATAACAACGACATACAAGAGGTTAAAATAGACTTTGCAAGTAAACTTTTTGTGGCTCAAGAAAATACAAAATGAATAAGCATTGCTTATATTACTCGTCTAGTCTGAAATAACCTGCAAGATAATTGTTTCTTCTTTTTTGCTTCAGGGTTTCGATGTATCTAGTCAGTATAATCTTCAAGAGGTTATGTCTAAACAATTGTACTTATGTCAGTGTTTATGTGCATTAATCAACCTTAGACCAGGTAGGTAGGTGTATATTGTGAAATCTCTTTTTGCTTGTAATTCGTCTGTTTCATAACTTCGTTTATATATGTACAACACCGCAGGTACGCTTTGGCACTAAGTGCCAATTAGCATGAAATCTAACCTCATAGTCTCTCCCTGATTATCTTCAATCATCTAACATCTATGCATTGATATATTACTAAATTTTTGCCAATCTATGTCATCGATATTTCAAACGCCTTAGAAATTGTTTTATTTTTACAGTTATTTTGATTATGTGAGTGCTGACTTACTGACGGACTGACTTAAACAAGCTAAAACCTGTAATAAATGCGTATGTTGGTTTAGTACAACAAAATTGAAATCAAACGTATGTGAACAGAAAATAACTTAAAAAAAGGTTTATAATAGTAGTGGATTAGTTTCCATATGTAAAAGAGATGAGGAGAAATCGTTTAAGAATAATCAATTAATAGAGGGAGGGGTTTTGTGGATATTATAGTAATTTTAATTGTTGAGATCATGAGTCAATGGAAGCTAGACCACTATGGAAAACCTGGAAGCATTGGACCGCCGTCTCATCCTACCGTGGGACTCTTCAGCAGTGTGGACCCACGATCCCGCCTCGCGAGATTCGAATCTAGGACCTATCAGTCTTGCGCACGAGCGCTCAACCATGGGTGTCTCTCTCAATTTTGTGGACTAGTTGAAGTTAGAAATTAACACGTTGGATACCGACCGGCTCAGTGGTCTAGTTGGCTAAGCGTCTGGCGCGAGACTGATAGATCCTGGGTTCGAATCTCGCGATGCGGGGTCGTGGGTGCACACTGCTGAGGAGTCTTACAATATGACGAAACAGTCGTCCAGTGCTTCTAGGTTTTCCATGATGATCTAGTTTCAATTGACTCATGATCTCAGCTATTGAAATAATCAATTACTTCACAACCTATCATTATGTCTTGATATAATCATCCTATGTATTTCTTCTCAACTGGTTTTTATGCCGAACAGTTGGATGGGATGAGTAGTCGTACGTAATAAATGTTTGAATTGCTTAGTGTGATGGGATTCTTGAATATTGAGTCTACCTTTTAAATTTTCATGAGGTTCCTTGCTCTGAGCTAGGTAGTAGTATAATTGTGAATTTTTCATTATCTTTCTAGACAACATTATCGGAGCTTACTTCAGGTACAATCTAGTTGTTTTAATTAACCAACAAGCTCTTATTCAGCCTATTCTGATGAGTTTATCTGTGAATGGTTGTTTTGGGAGTTTTTGTCACTATACTCCCATTCAGCACTTTTTTTTGTTTCATTGGTCTTTAGTTACGTGATTGATTGACACTTTTCCGTATACGTTGATGAACAGATAGGTCTGTATCGATGATGAAAGCCTCATGATTAAATTAATTTGAACTTAGAGTATATAACACAATCAAAAGCATTATTATTATTATTATCAGAAGGGGTTTGTGGAGATTTTAGAAATTTCACAGATTGAAATCATGAGTCAATGGAAGCTAGGCCACTATGGAAAACCTGAAAGCACTGGACGGCCGTTTCGTCCTAGTATGTGACTTCTCAGCAGTGCGCATCCACGATTCCGCACCCCGCGAGATTCGAATCCAGGACCTATCAGTCTCGCGCCAAGCGCTTAACCAACTAGACCACTGAGCCGGCATCCAGTGGTGTTGATGTCTAACTCCAACCAATCCACGAAGCTGCGCCACCGTATACCATTGTCTTCAGTGAGCTCTCAACCCTCAATTGACTCATGATTTCAATCTGTGATATTATTATTATTATTAAATTTGCTTTATTCAGTACGTATTTTCGGTACAATATAGAATTCTCATCACAGTATTTCAGCGAGTTTCCTTTTCTTATTTCTTGATTCATCCTGACGATAAGTATTAAGTGATCGACAGTTAGATGTTAGAATTTCAGAAATGGGTATCTGAATAATGTTCATTCTTTTTCTGTCAATATTGCCAGTAATTACGATATCTTCGATTGTACATTTTTGTAACTTGTACAGTGAAAGGTTGTAAACACTTCACAAACACACCTGAATAGGTTATGATACTAATAGGCATAATGATTTTTTAAAACAAACAAGAAAACAGATAATTTGTTGAGATATCAAGATAGTAGGGAGGAACTGGTAGCTCAGATATTCATACAGGTCGCCAGTGGATGCATCCATCACAGTTACAAATCTTTTTTTTTCATTTCCAAATTTATTAACAATTGATTGTAATATTAAATAATTATATATTTTCAATAGTTGAGATCATGAGTCAATTGAACCTAGACCACCATGGAAAACTTGGAAGCACTGGACGGCCGTTTCGTCCTATTGTGGGAATCCTCTGCAGTGCTCATCCATGTTCCTGCCTCGCGAAATTGAAACCCAGGACCTATCAGTCTCGCGCGCGAGCGCTTAACCACTAGATCATTGAGTCGGCATCCAACAGTGTTAATGTCTAACTAACCAATTCACGCTGAGGAGTCCCAAAATAGGACGAAATGGCCGTTCAGTGCTTCTAGATTTTCCATGGTGGTCTAGCTCCCATTGACTCATGATCTTAACTATTGATATTACTATAATATCCACAAAAACCCCTCTGATATGAATTGTATATTTGTATTTCTTCTTTTTAAAATCACTGAAAAATTTAGGTGGACATTTTTTAACAAAATTATTTGATACATTTACTGAATTCACAATTGGCATAATTTATTTGATGGGTTATTTATTTGAAGAGATTTTCATTGTAAAACCTGTAACTAGTCGACCAGCTAATTCAGAACGGTTAGTTTATTTTTGGTTTCATTCCATTGGGTTTTGCTTATTCCTGTTTGCTAAGTATAAATTTTTCTTATTTAATTTAAGTTATATCTAACAGTAGAATCCAGAATACGAGTTTCGTCTCATTTCCAGGATTCATCAATTGAATATACTTCTATTCCAGTATTGATGGTGATTATATTTACACTTGAACCCATTACCGTTCACTTCAAATGTCAACACACAATCGGTTGAGCTACTGAGTTCAGATAGCAGTCATTCGCTTTTGCGACGGGTACAGGTTTAGTTCGTAAGGGCTTGTATTTTACAATTGTTGATATTATAGACTGTGATTGATGAGTTTCTCTATTAGCGATCCGCTCAAGACATGTATATCAATAGAAAGTGACCAGTTGCAGTTGTCATTACTGACAATTAGAAAATAAACGCCTTTACAAATGAATATAAACTGTTAGTATTCATGTTTAATTTTTGGGGTAATTCTTCAGAAAACCAAAAACAATACTGAAAATTACTTTTAATCAATGAGTATTTTTGGGTGAAATTCCTAAAATGTGTTTAGAAAACAATACTTCTTGTGGTTCTTGTAAGCGATTCTGAGTTAGAGGATGGTCTTGACGACTTGAGAGTGTGACTCGTAGAATCAAACGGATGACTGCTTAAGGCTATTTACAGACAAATTTTATGTGAATAGTTTTAGTTGTGTTAGCTCCGTACTTCTAAGGCCTTATCATTAAGGTCCTTATCTGTGAGACAAGGTGATGTCTGGTATTTCTAGGGTCTACCTTTTTAAACTCTCTCCTTCTGTTATGCTAGGGTAATATGGCTGTAGTTGTTGATTGTCTGAGAAAACCACCTTCCTGCAGTCAAATCTGTGTATGTTCCGCAGCACGACTTACTGCTCAGATCATGAGTTTGTTGCCCTAGTCATACCACTCTCCAATCAACCTTCATTGTGTGGTAGGAACTAAAGGAACATGTGTTTCAGTCAATGTAGCTTGATTGAGTCAGCATCATTAGGGTCAACGTTTGTTACATAGATAATAAAGGAATAGCATAAAATTGGACGGTGGAAAGTATGAGATAATAATCAAATTCATAGTTTATTCAAAGTACAAAGAATGGATGGATCTTGGTAACTGAAATCGATTTTTGTTGCTAGACGCATCCAACTATAAGATCACTCTAATTATAAGGCTTACATCATTCAGCAGAACTCTCAACCCAACGGTGATTAACTTTATGAACTAATGTCACATCATAATTTGATCACTATAATTTGTAATAGTTATTTGATAAAAACTACTAAGTTACAATAATGTTGACATTGTATGACTTCCTAATTTCCCCTTTCTTGTTAGATGTGGTAGATGGTTATTATTATGTAATTTGATATATTATTTATCGAACTGTTCATTCTATCGGTGATTGTTGTTGCTTTCTCTTCTAACCATCAAGTTATTTAGTATGCAAAAATTTACGATCATCTTTAAACACAATGGCTGGTTGTGTACCTGCTCCCAAATCATCATCATCCATGACAAGTCATTCGGATTCCACTGATCAAAAGTCAAGTTTCCGACAGAAGACACGTAAATTTCCAGGTCAACAACAACAAACAACCACCACAAATGGTATTGTTGTTGATGATGTGGAAGCCAGTAAAAAGTTTGGCATTCTAACCGATATGAAACAATCTGGTTCACTTGGTCTAGTGATCAATCATTTTTTACAAGTTAATGAAAAGTTAAATCAAATTAAAACAAACCAATCAGTGTCGTCACCATCATCATCAATCAATCCAAAATTGGATTTATTAAAAATATGTCACACTGAAATAATTGAACAAGATGAAAAATTTATGCAATTTATTCAGGGGATGAATGAAGAGTAAGTTGTGATTTTTTTTGCATGCTTTCCTTACCGGAAACTACATACAAGTTTGTTCTTATTTGTCTATTTAATAAGTCTATTTACGATACCGTTCACTGTTGTCCGTTATATGTTTAATAATAAATTTAAGTAGCGAAAATGTAGTTTTGCAAAATTTATGCTTGATCAATCTTATGCTCTAGTAAGGCCGATGGTAGGGAGAGTTAGATATTCCTCTCAAAATGCTCTCACATGGACATGCGTATACAGCAACTGACAATGATTTCCTACTCACTGCCTTCTCGAGGCGAGGGTGTTGTTTACGAATTCGAGAGGACGATAAACGAATATCCGGTGCTTTAACCACGTTGGTGTTCGTGAATACGGAGGATACACTTAGAGGAGTTTGAAAACCCTGAATTCAAACCAGTCGTGCACATGGACTCCAGGATCTTAAGGAAACAAATGGCGTATGAACCCAATGATGTTCACCTACTAACATGAGATTGCATCTCCTAACGTTGCTTCACTGCCTTGTGGATTAGACCTCTAGATCAAAAGCTCGGGGAGTGGTCTTTTAAGAAAACCACCTGCTTCTGTCTGGGGACCCGTGCAATATCCTGGCCCTCACACAAATCAAATGACGAAGTGTGTCGCATATTTATTTGGTGCCTCTTTGTACCAATATTTGTGTTTAAGAAATAAACACTTTGAAAAAATGGTTTATTTCTGATAATGCACACGTTCTATTTTTGTTTCCATTAATCGAAAAATCCGGAGAAGTTATCAGAAGTTAATTGCTTCAGCTGCCTTGTTATTATATCAGAACTCTCTTGAGAAGCTGAGATAGACTGAACTGGTAGTTTCTGCATGAATACTTCAAGAAACTCCATTTAGTTTGCTTCATGTTAAGCTTAATGCAACTGTAGAATGGTTTCAAGATTATGCAAATAGATATTATTGAATTGATGTGTCATAACCCGTTGTAATACCATCATCTCTCCTCTCGGTAATGGCTAGATATATTAATCATATTAAGGGCTCTGTAGTCGATGATATGGTTTTACTGAATAATATGACCTAGAACCGGTCGTAATAATGTAGATACATTCATTGTTTATCTTCTCTGAGGTTTTAATTTCTTGATTTTTTTGTACTGTTTATTCCTTAAAGTCTGCCACTAATATGATTTGGCAACTTAATTTAGTGCACATGTATATCAGGTTCTATGTTGCTAACGAGATTGATTATGAAAAACTAATTTCCTAGTAAACTTAATTGCTTTAGTGTATTTTAAGTCAAATGTTCGACTGAATGTCTCTTGTTTTCTTTTTGTCTTCCCTTTAGTTTTGCTAAACATCAATGTATCGCTTTGTCAAAACTGTTAGCATTCTCTCAAGATCACAGTCTTGTTGAAAAAAGACAAGATGAATTGTATAGAACATGTTTAGAAAAATGGAAGGTAATTGTGTTCGTTCATGTGTTTAATCTTTTTGTTTGCTTGTTTGTTGTTGTTGTTGTTGTGTTCCTTGTTCGTGTTTCACAATCTTCATGGATTTCATCATATAGTTTTTATTGATACTTTAAGAACTGTTAGTTAATTTGAGCTTGATGGGAACTAAGTACGCCAAATTGTTGGACATTTTAGGGAGATTTATATTAGACGCTTCATTGATATAAAGCAACTTAATCACATCTCTATCTTAGTGATTCAGACATTGACAACATAGGACCTGGAACACATACGCATCGGTTCAATTTGTCACGACACATTACTGTGGAAAGACGAAATCATCAATATGAAAACCAAGTTCTCATTGAAGGATTGAAATAATTTTCCATTGTCCCCATAACTTTTAGTGGGTCTTCAATTGGTGTTTACCAAATGATCTTTCAAGTTATCTATCTCAGATATGCTTCGTGGTTTCTACCTTTGGTCGGGCAAGCATATTTAAAATTATGGAAAAATTGATATCTCTCTGAATGTTTGGACATGTATTGTCAGATGCCCTTCGTCGTATATCAATGTGAGTAATCACTTTTTTTTGTTTAAGCAATAAATCAGTGTTAATCATTGAGCTTCAATTGCGAACACTATTTATTCCATCCTTCAGTTATTGGGTTGGTTACTGGTCGATATAACTCCGCCTGTAGCTCTTATAGGGTTACTGCCGGTCCCAAGCCCGCGTAAAGGAGGAGGGTTGGGCTTGTGGTTAGCGTCCCCATCCCGTAGAAAACTAACTCGCTAAAAAAACGCTTGCCAGAAAAAATAATTCAAACCATTTTAACTCTGCCCTGAGAGTTAGAAGGTCTTCATTTAGAAGAATTATGACGCTTCATGGTGAAAGCCGAGTTCCTTCGGAAGCCACGAGGCCGATGCCCCTTCTAACAACCAGAGCAAAAATTTTTATAGGTACATGGAACGTTCGAACAATGTGGGAAACCGGGAAGACCAGTCAAATATCAATGGAAATGAGGAGATACAATTTAGCAGTACTGGGAATCAGCGAAACCCACTGGACCCAAGCTGGACAGAAAAGGCTAGCTACAGGAGAGATGCTGCTATACTCCGGTCACGAAGAGGACAATGCTCCACACACTCAGGGAGTCGCTCTTATGCTGTCCAAAGTAGCGCGAAATGCACTTGTAGGATGGGAATCTCACGGATCCAGAATCATCAAAGCATCATTCAAAACAAAGAAGGAGGGGGTCTTAATGAATATTATCCAATGTTATGCACTCACCAATGATAGCAACGACGAAATTAAAGATCAATTCTACGAGCGGCTGCAGTCAATCATTGAGAAATGCCCAAGAAAGGACCTAGCTATTCTGATGGGAGATCTAAATGCCAAAGTCGGAATAGACAACACTGGATATGAAGATATTATGGGACGACATGGACTGGGAGAAAGAAACGAAAATGGGGAAAGATTTGCAAATCTATGTGAATTCAACAAATTGGTCATAGGAGGCACAATATTTCCACACAAGCGTATACACAAGGCTACATGGATCTCACCGGACCACACTACAGAGAACCAGATAGATCATATTTGCATCAACAAAAAATTCCGAAGGACAATGGAAGATGTGAGAACCAGGAGAGGTGCTGACGTAGCTTCAGATCACCACCTAGTTGTAGCCAATTTAAAACTGAAGCTAAAAAAGAACTGGACAAGTGGACAAACAGCACTACAAAGGTTCAATACAGCCTTCCTTCGAGATACTGTCAAACTCAATGAATTCAAGATAGCTCTCAACAACAGGTTCCAAGCCTTACAAGATCTACTGAAGGAAGAAGAAACTACTATGGAGTACAACTGGAAAGGCATCAAGGAAGCATTAACTTCAACGTGTCAAGAGGTTCCCGGTCTAAAGAAATACCACCATAAGGAATGGATCTCTACAGAAACACTGGACAAGATCAAAGAAAGGAAGAACAAGAAGGCAGCAATAAACAACAGCCGAACACGAGCAGAGAAAGTCCAAGCACAAGCTGAATACATAGAAGCAAACAAACAAGTGAAGAGGAGCATTAGAGCCGACAAGAAGAAATACGTGGAAGAACTAGCAACGACGGCAGAAAAAGCTGCTAGAGAAGGAAATATGAAACAGCTTCACGATACAACGAAGAAACTAGCAGGGAAATACAGTAAAACAGAGAGGCCGGTCAAAGACAAAGAAGGCAGGCAAGCCAATCACCGAAATTCAAAAACAGAGTAACAGATGGGTGGAATACTTCGAGGAACTCCTGAATAGGTCGGCTCCAATGAATCCACCGGACATCGAAGCAGCACACATAGATCTTCCTATAGATATCAACCCACCAACGACGGAAGAAATTAGAATGGCCGTCAGACAAATCAAGAACGGGAAAGCAGCAGGACCCGACGACATACCAGCTGAAGCACTGAAATCAGACATCGAAACAACCACAAGCATGCTTTACCTTCTATTCAAAGAGATTTGGGAGGAGGAACAAGTGCCGATGAACTGGAAAGAAGGACACCTCATCAAGATTCCAAAGAAAGGAGATCTGAGCAAATGTGAAAACTACACTACTGTCAATACCAGGGAAAGTCTTCAACAGGGTGTTGCTGAACCGGATGAAGGATGCAGTAGACGCCCAACTTCGAGATCAACAAGCTGGATTCCGTAAGGATCGGTCGTGCACAGACCAAATTGTAACACTACGGATCATCGTCGAACAATCAGTTGAGTGGAACTCATCACTATACATCAACTTCATTGATTATGAAAAGGCATTCGACAGTGTAGATAGGAGGACATTATGGAAACTTCTTCGACACTACGGAGTTCCTGAGAAGATTGTCAATATTATCCGGAACTCATACGACGGACTACAGTGCAAAGTAGTGCATGGAGGACAGCTGACAGATGCATTCCAAGTAAGGACCGGGGTCAGACAAGGCTGTCTACCCTCTCCCTTCCTCTTTCTTCTGGTGGTCGACTGGATTATGAAAACCTCGACATCTGAGAGAAAACACGGCATACATTGGACAGCTCAGAACCAATTAGACGATTTGGAATTCGCAGATGATCCAGCCCTCCTATCGCATACGCATGAACAAATGCAGATAAAGACAGCCAGTGTAGCAGCAGTCTCTGCATCAGTAAGCCTCAGCATACACAAGGAGAAAACCAAGGTCCTCAAATTCAAAACGAAGAACAGCAATCTAATCACTCTTGATGTCGAAACTCTGGAAGATGTAGAGTCCTTCACATACCTGGGAAGCATCATCGATGAACAAGGAGGATACGATGCAGACGTAAAGGCGAGGATTAGCAAAGCAAGGGTCGCATTCCTACAATTGAAGAACATATGGAACTCAAAACAACTTTCAACGAATATCAAAGTGAGAATCTTCAATACGAACGTCAAGGCAGTTCTACTGTATGGAGCTGAAACTCGGAGAACTACAACAACCACAATCAAGAAAGTACAAGTATTTATAAAAAGCTGTCTACGCAAGATACTCAACATCCATTGGTCGGATACCATCAGCAATAGCCTTCTGTGGGAGAGAACAAACCAACTTCCAGCTGAAGAAGAAATTAGGAAAAGACTATGGAAATGGATAGGACATACATTACGCAAATCGTCAAACTGCATCACGAGTCAAGCCCTAACTTGGAATCCTGAAGGGAAGCGAAAAAGAGGAAGGCCAAATAACACATTACGTTGGATAATAGAAGCAGATATGAAAAGGATGAATAAGAACTGTAAGGAGCTAGAAAGGATTGCTTGGGACAGGGTTGGATGGAGAATGCTGGTGAGTGGCCTATGCTCCTTCACGAGGAGTAACAGGCGTAAGTAAGTAAGTAAGTACTGGTCTATATGTTTAAAAGCCCAAATAAACCACATCTTGTTTCAGGTCTACACATTAGATGAGATGCAAGTATTGGTGAAGTTCGTGAACGAGTAAGTGGTCGTTCTGATCAAGATCACCTCGCATATATGTCTGTCTGAATCAGTCCATACATCTGTATGTGTACTTTTGTTGTAGCACTCATCATTCAACCTTTTGACTATAAAACCGTTCACTGAATTATTCTTTTTAATCAGATCATAGAACTGTTACGTCCTTGATATGTTTACCCAATAATATACAGGAGAGAAATTATCTCGATCTAAATTAAGATCTTGGCACAATAGACTAACTAGTCCAACCTTGAGGCTGAAAATACGTGATTCCGAAATGAGACTAATGGCCTTAGGTAGAGAGACGAAAACGAGAGAGAAAACGAATCAACTGATTCACTTCTCGATTTATTCCTGATTGAGATTCATGTAAAAAGATACATAAAAATAACTAGTAGACCAACACGACCCCGACGCACAAACAATAAGAAAATACAATTATGTCCAAATTGGGGGTTAGGGTGGAAAAATGGAGTACCAAAGGTTATAATAGCTTTGAAATAGGAAAGAGTATGGTAGTAAATCATGCATCAAACTAAAGCTTATAGTCTATAAAATAACCTAGTGACAGGATTGAATGTTAATATTTTTACAAACTTTGAATTAAGTGATGTTGCCAAAAATAGCTTCTGTTGTTTGTCAGAGCTTCATTATTTATCTATTCACAACAAAACCACAACACGGGTTAGAAGCTCATTTCACCTTTTTTTAAATATCGGTAGTTTCAATAGTATAACCAGTCCCTATTTGATGAAAAGTGATATAGTTCATGTAACCTGTATTAAGATTTATATCAACTGTTTGTTGTTATTGTTACATAACTATTCTCTCATTCTCTATGATCGACTGACTTTTGTTTTTCAAGATTCCGTTAACAGAACGTCGGTCTGTCCCTTGGCCTTTATTATCCGCTAATCGTTCACCAATTATTCGTCGTTTATTAGGTGTAAGTTATTATTGGACAGTTTATATTTGTTCTGATCTCTTTTTTCTTCAGTTCCTTGCTTTCACAATACTCACCAGTGTCATGATGAATCACATCCCAATACATATAACTTTATAACTCACCAAGATGATTTTATGTTTTGTTAAATGATAGAGTTGTTTAATTCTATCTATTCTCGAGATTATTCTTAACTTCTAAGAATTATAGTCCTTTATTAATATTCTGAATGTTCAGTTATCGGGATGAATAGAATAAGATTGTTTCTTTGACATCTTATGATATCATCCAGTCAGGTCAGTTGAGTAAAGATAAAACTATAAACAACAAGTGTCACGTCCAAAATCGAAATTACTCCATCAATAATTGGCACATTAACGATAATGCCGTTCAATAGACAATTAATTGTTCGGAGAGGTCAGTATTGAGAAAGTGAACACTCCTCATTTTTCTAGACAGCTTCAGCCAGGAATCTGTGAGACGATCAATTTTTGTTACTATTCTAGTCGATCTTTTGTAACTTTCCCCCTTTGTATGTGGGTAGGCATGGTCTCTAGAGGCATTATTTATCTGTGCGTATTCCTTCTCTACCTATACAACGTGATATAGTTATCAACACTACTTCACTTTCTGTGTTTCTTTTTCTTCTACATTTGTTTAAATGTTTTTAACATGATAGGATCTTAGTGGATAGATTTTTAGTCAAGTAGGCTCGGTCGAACCTTCAAAACAGTTAAATTTCATCATCACAATAGACTTTTGAAAGATTGTAACTATATCAATTTAATAGAATAATACATCTCACTAAAAGCCAACAGATGCATGTATCATTTGCATGGGGATTATGCTTCTCCCGTATGAACTAATGATACTGTCAGCGTGTGTAAGCCGAAGTAAGCGAAACCGTATTCGAATCAGTTACTTATACATTTGTCAATCACATGATATGATCGCTGAATTGTAGAAACGTGACTTAAACTAGTTACTTTTACGATACTATACAAAATATGTTATCCGTTAGTATATTAACGTCTACTTCTTGTTTCTTTATAGGATAGCGAAAATTTGACATCACTCAATACGTTACCATCAGAATATCGTACAAATATACGTCTTACACCATTCACTAATGCAAATTTAAATAATTTAGATATTTTATATCATAGTCGAATTGCTTTAGTATGCGGTAATCCGTCGATTACATCAACTTCTGAACCAGCTCAAGCAATGTTCATTTATTCACATGGATCTGCAGTTGCGGTAGGTAAATTAAGTATACCTGTCTCAACTACTATTTACTACACAGTATTTCGGGTATTTTTTAAAGTTTACATTAAACATAGGTATACATGATCATTCAGAAATATTCATAAAAGGATATAAAAATAAGTTCATATACATCATTTTTGATCCTATTTATTGAACATATACGTACTACTGGCTAGGTTTCAAAGTTCTGATAAGAAACTGTGATGGAAGAGGGTTGTATAACTACATCTGGGAGTAATAAAATAATTCCGTAATCTTGGTTAAATATTTCATTATATCGTGAATTGGTTGAATTAGACTGTTAGATTCCAGTTCAGTTTTCTTAAAGTATTGTTTTCATCGGAAGATCTAAGACTCTTGGGTTCGACCTAATGAGAGGTCATGAATTGTGCACTGCAAAGATACGGTCCCAAAGTATGATGTGTAAATTACCTCGGTCTTCTAAGTTATTAATCTTTCTGTTAGCCGTTGAAAATTCTTCAAAAGAGGGTTCATAATCTGTTGGAAAAGCTAAAAGTACTTTGATCAATCTGTGTCATATGAAGACTTCATGAACTTCTAGAATGGCAATAAATTTTATGCTACACTCATTGGATAACTAACATTTTTGCTACTAAATTCATCATTCCCAGAATCTTTCAAAATACCAAGGACACCCATAAATCTGTAAATACTCTTGCTTTCTGTACATAACTCAATCTTGGAATGAGAGCATCTACATTTCACCTCTCTCCCGTTTGGGCTTCAACAATAGAAGTATTGTTGGGAAAATAGGAAGCAGCTAAAAATTTATAGTGAAGGGTTTAAGTACCAGACTTATCAACCTCAACAATTGATATCTATGATAAAAATCGAACTTAAACTGGAAAATTCCCACAAATCCCCATCCTTACACTTTGATTGTTTTATTATATACATATCACTATTAATATATTATCATACCATTTACATTCTGAGATTAGTTGTGTATATTTATTCCGTTTGTAATTGTTTTAGGATACTTATTGCACTGTTGATGGAGATCAATGGAATAGATTAGATCAAGTGATACCTAGACTAAACCCACGACTTCCACCTAGTACCTTAATTTGGGGCCAACCATTTTATGAATATGCTGTGAAGGTAGTTTTCGAAAAAAGACTAATAATGTTTATCTTGTGAAATGTTTTATGGATATAAGATTAATTGCATTCTTGGTTTGTGTGTAATTTCAGCCTCGTCGTGTTACAATTTAGTAAAGAAGTACACGTTTGTTTCCTATACTTCGAATGATTGTTTTTGATGTCGTACAGTATGATAGATGATGGGGAAACACAACTTGATTCTGAAGTGCCATTATAAACTAGGATGAGGACTGGATAGTTGCTTCATCCTAATATAGAACTCTTCAGCAACACTCACCCCAGTCACCGTTTGTTCATTTAGGCCGTATCAAATGCATGGACCTCCTCATTGGGCCCTACTCTACAATTGTGATCATCTTGTAATCTTCAGATACAAGAAACTATTTTCACAGTTGTATTTCCATTATTTATAATTATAAGAATAGTTCATATCTGAAGACGACATTTTGAAACAAAAATTATCAACATAGTACATTTCGTACCCAAATAGGGATGGAGTGAGTTGTTGCCTAGTGGTTAGGATGTTCGACTTTTAGCCTAGGTTCAAACCCCACTCCATCTATTTCCGTTTGGGCAGCCGTGTAGTATTTATTATTCATTTATTTATACACATTAACAGTAGAACGAGAAGGCACCAAACAGATATACACTACATAAATCATTCAATTTATATGGGGGCTGTGATACTGCTCAGTTGCCCAAACCGAAGCAGGTTGTTTTTTTAGTGGATCACACCCGGAGCCTTTGATCTAAAGGTCTAATCCACAATGCAGCATTAGGAGATGCAATCCGATGGTAGCCGGTGACCAACAATTGGTTCATACGCCGATGTGCCACCTGGCGTCCTCCCTCTGCATCTCAAGCCTGGACTCAGATTGATCACATCGCGATCAGCTACCGCTGGCGTGGTTGTGTACAAGACTGCCGCTCCTTTTGGAGTACCTATCTGGACTCTGACCATGCCTTGGTCTGCGCCAATCTTGCCTTACTTTTCAGTGGACAACGAAGTGAACGCCATCAACGGATTGATGTTAGCAAGCTGGTTGCAACTTCTGTTGCAAGTAAGTATCGAACCGAGCTAGCCTCTAGGCTAGCTACCACTCCACCGAAAAGTATAGATGAGCATTGGTTGCAATTGCATGACGCCATGAAAATGGCGGGAACAGTCAGTTGTGGGTTTGCGAAACGTCCCGCTTTTAAGCACTGGGTTTCTTCTGGTTCCTTACAACTCATTGAAGCCCGTCGGTCTACTCCGGGTAACCGTGAGTTTGACCATAAACGAAGGTTTTTACGTAAGGAAATCGGGCAAGGCTTGCGTAAGGACCGAGAAGCCTGGTGGTCGATGCGTGCTAATGAGCTGGAAGCAGCAGCTGCATCTGGTAACTACCGGAAGCTCTTCCAACTCATCCGAGCCACTGGCAGCAAGAAGTCTGGTGTGAGTGAAACAATCTGCGAGGATGATGGGATGCCAATCACAAACATCCATCGACGTCTTGGACGATGGGCAGAATTTTTCGAAGGGCAGTTCAACTGGCCTGCTGCTCCGGTAACATCGGTCAGACTGTCCTGCCCTCCATGGCCGGTGACGACTGATCCACCAAATGAGGAGGAAGTCCACAAGGAACTCCAACTCTTGAAGCGTTACAAATCACCTGGCCCAGATGACTTACCTCCGGCTCTTTTTAAAGATGGTGGTGACTTTTTGACTAAGGAATTGACGACGTTGTTTACAAAGGTTTGGGATCTAGAGAGTGTACCAACGTCATGGAATGAGTCGATAGTTGTCCCTATCTTTAAAAAGGGTTCACGTCGTTCTTGTAACAACTATCGGGGGATAAGTTTACTTCCAATTGCGTCCAAGCTATTGGCTTCCGTCATTCTTCGTAGGTTGTTCAAAACCCGAGAAAGATTGACTCGCGAGGAGCAGGCTGGGTTTCGTTCTGGTCGAGGATGTATTGATCATATCTTCACCCTCCGCCAAATGTTAGAACACCGCCATACTTTTCAAAGGCCAACAATCGTAGTGTTTCTTGACATCAGGGCTGCCTTCGATTCGTTGGATAGGACTGTTCTCTGGGATTGTCTATTGAAGAAGGGTGTGCCTGAGAAGTTTATTAACATCCTAAAAGCCCTGTATAAAAACACCTCAGGCAGAGTGAGGGCATACAACCACCTCTCTCCATTGTTCCATTCGAGCAGTGGGGTTAGGCAGGGTTGCCCAATCTCACCATTCCTCTTCAACTTTGCCATCGATGACATTCTGGAAACAGCTCTGATGAATGTAAGTAATGGTGGTGTAGATCTGTTGCCTGGAGAAAGACTTCTCGACCTTGAGTATGCGGACGATATTGTCTTACTGTGCGATAATGCCCAAGGCATGCAATCCGCACTTAATCAGTTGGCAATCAATGTCCGTAGGTATGGTATGTGCTTTGCACCTTCGAAGTGCAAAGTACTTCTACAAGACTGGCAGGATCCCAATCCTGTACTCAGCCTGGATGGTGAGCAGATAGACGTAGTTGAGAAGTTCGTGTATCTGGGTAGCTGCATAAGTGCTGGTGGGGGTGTGAGTGATGAGATCAATGCACGAATAGTGAAAGCCAGAGCGGCTTATGCCAATCTGGGCCACCTTTGGCGCCTTCGTGATGTCAGTCTGGCTGTAAAAGGCCGGATCTACAACGCGTCGGTGAGAGCAGTTTTGCTCTATGCTTGTGAAACCTGGCCTCTCCGAGTTGAGGACGTTAGACGACTCTCTGTGTTTGATCATCGCTGTCTCCGAAGGATTGCTGACATTCAGTGGCAACACCATGTCAGTAATGCAGAGGTTCGGCATCGTGTGTTCGGGCACAGAGATGATAACTCAATTGGTGTCACCATCTTGAAACACCGACTTCGGTGGCTTGGACATGTTCTCCGAATGTCGTCCCAGAGAATTCCACGTCGTGCATTATTTGCCGACTCTGGGACTGGTTGGAAGAAGCGGAGAGGTGGTCAGTGCATGACATGGTGTCGTGGCATGAAAGAAAGCTGCAAAGGACTGGCTTGTGTTGGTCCTTCACGACTCCCTGGCTGGGGTCCGAGAGATGTTGCAACACAGTGGCTAGAGACGTTATCAGATATGGCTCAGAATAGAAGCCAGTGGCGATCCTGCTGTAACCTTCTTTTACTTTCTTCATAAAAAGTGGTTGTGTCTCCTTTACCTGAAAGATTTCTTCTGATTGTACCTCTTCGTCATTACTCTCTTTTTCTTTTGCGTTCCTTAGTTTTTTTTTTTCTTTCTACTTCTCTTCGAATTCCCATTGTTTTGTGTGGCGCATATATATTGGCGCTCTCTTGTACCAATATTTATGTGTTCAAATAAATAAACAAATAAATAAATCATACGCCATTTGTTTCCTTAGGATCCTGGATCATATGTGTACCATATGTTTGGAATGAGGGTTTTCCTATTCCTATAGGTGGATCCTCCATATCCACCAACCCGGTTAAAGCTCCGGACATTCGCTTTTCGTCCTCTTAACTTCGTAGACAACACCCTCGCCTCGAGAAGGCAGTGAGTAGGACTTCGCTGGCATTGGTTGTATACGCGTGTCCATTTGAGAGCATTTTGACAGGAATATCTGACTCTCCACTCTCGGCCGTACCAGGCCATTTAGGTCATGTTCAATTACCTGGTGAATGAGTTAAATTAATTTTATTTAATGGAATTATTATTGATTGATTAACAGTAATAACCATGCACTCGTAGTTGGGCAAAATCGCAAAACTGTCTAACCTCAGAATATTTATGGTATAATTTCACAGATTAAATTAAAATTGGTTTCGATTACAAAATTACATTGAAAGTGATAAAGTGAATAACAACAATCGACACTTCGTACAGGCAGAGACGAAAGTAACAAATTCAATATAAAACTGGTCGAACCATTGAGCCGGTCAATAAGAAAGTAGATAGTTTATATTCAGACAGTTATTCACTAACGGTATTGGATGATGATTGCGTAATATAGTAAACTAATTAGAATTAAAACTGTCCACCATTGAATATCACGTCAATGATCTTACGGTTTGGACGCTATCTGTTAGACCTGGGGTTTCTGAGCTCGACCGATCCTTGGCGAAATCGCTGTTGCCTATTGCTAAGGATTTCCATAGCAGGATGTGACAGCTGTCCAATGCTTCCTGGTCCTCAATAGCTGTCTGACTAGTGTCACTTTGGGTATGTGAACTATAAGTACTTACACTCAGTCAATGTAATATGTGTAATGGTTATGCAACAATAGATATTAGTCATTATTAAGTAGTATAATTGCGATATATAAATCTCATAATAATCCTATATGTTCTTTTAATTTCCTTGTTAACACATAATGCAACTCAGTATCATTATAAAGGGTTGTGTCGTTAGCTTTAAATTAAACTCTTGCTGTTTTAAAGTTCACTTTTCTAATCTGTTTATCTATTTTGACTATTGAACAATTAATTTTTGCACTACATACTGAAATGATAACAATTGAGTAGTTACTAATTTCATACTTTAATGTCAAAAATTTTCACTAAATTGTCACATTATAAGTGTTGATTATAGTCTTTGCGAAATGTGTTTGTTTAAATGAATGAATAAAATACATTTTAATAGTTGAGATCATGGTTCAATTGAAGCTAAACCACTATGGAAAACGTGGAAGCACTGGACGGTTGTTTCGTCCTATTTTGGAACTCCTCCGCAGTGCGCATCCACGAGATTCGAACCCAGGACTTATCGGTCTCGTTTCGCGAGCGTTAACTGAAATCATGAACCAATTGAAACGACCGTCCAGGTTTTCCATGGTTGTCTAGATTCGATTGACTCATGATCTCAACCATTAAAATTACTATAATATCCACAAAAACCCTTCTGATATTAAAATACATTTTGTTGAATAAGCATAGATCAGCGATTATCTGGCTAGTTAAAACCCCCCAGAAAATCGATAGAATCTCACCTTTTGTTTGAGTAGCAGTCGGCTAGTCGTATATGATTGACGTCCGATGATTTATAATCTGCAGTTGAATAATGAATTAAAATTAATTAGTTTGGAGGAAAAAAACATTTTCAAAGCATTTTTTCATCAACAGTACCTGTTCTCCGTCTATATTATAGAACGATGCTGATCCTCTGATCAACAATGATTTGTCGGGAACTGTGGTACTCTAAGATTTACTTCCTTCATTGATAACAATTATTATTAAGTTCTTCATTGTTTAGTGTACAAATTACATATTTTGATATGTATATATGTGTGTGTGTTTGTTTTCAGTCCCATCTAATCAGAAACTGACTTTTACCGATTAAATCCGTTTTCATTTATGTTAGTGATAAACTACTGTACTTCTGGTATCAAGAGGGTGTGTGTATGTCATTTATTTCTTGTAATGATTAATTGTGCTCTTGTCTTTGATTAACATGTTTGTTAAAAATCTTAAAAAATTTTTTTGTATTGTTCTCTGAATCTTTATAGAATGGTTTACGAAAACACGGTTTATTTATATATGATGTTGTGTGTATCTACGGTCGAGATTGTCGTAAATTACCATACAGGAAAAGGTAAGTACATGTTGTTCTTATGTTTATTTCACTCATTGATTTAAGATATAATCGTTGAATATACTCATATTTATTACTGTTGAGATTATTGTCTTTAGATATACAACTTTTACCTACTTACTGTAGACATCCGGTTGTTTGTATTATATAGACAAGTAGATTAGGAGTCTAGAACCACTGAAAATCAGTTGTGTTTTATCAATGGATGAAGTTCGTTTAAGGTGTGTTGAGATTGTTCCGATATTCTTTGGTCAATGTCTACCTCGCTAATTGAAATATGCGTTGTTGGAAATGATTCCGTTGCAGCGGTGCGGATTCGTTCATTGTTTACTTTCATCTATTTGGTTATTTGTGATTATTTTTCATTCTCCGAAATCATTTACAGAGTATATTCTCCATTATTTTTCACTATTTACGCATCTACTTTTTTAATTTTTATCTTGTTAACATCGTCTCTCTCACTGTTTTGGAGACAGACTCATGAGGACAATGTCATATTCGATACTGTTTACGATTAACTAACTGAATAATACAAACTAGTATGCTAATGGATTTTAATCATCAAATTTTTCTGCAACTTATGATTGTCAGTTAGTCTTGAAATCTAGACGTTTTACTGTCCAATGTATTTTCAAGTTTCAATTGACGAGTCCTTATTGTTTGGTAATTCTGTGAATGAAATTACAAAAACTCTGTACTCAGTCTTTATTACAATTAACATGCTCGTAATAAATGAAAGTTTATTATCAGCAAACTTGTATATTCTCTATACAACAAATAGTTCCAAATTCATTTTAGTCAGTACAAGTCTATACATATTTAATATTAATCAGTCCATGATGCCATAGATTGTTGAAGTTAGCCCTGGTGGTAGATGAAAACCAGACAAAACCATCCTAACCAGCTGTCGGAGACGTTAGATAATTATATAACTCAGAATCCGTTACAATAATTTAGATAAATTCAATCCCTACTTCATCTTAGACCCCTGAGTTTTATGGTTGCCTTATAATTTTTCAATCCAGGAATTTATCCCTCTGGAATCATATCGTCTATACCCAGACTTTTCTATTAATATCATTGATAGTGTAACTTTCTACTACTCTTACATTTGTCTTGATAGTTTCACTGTACTGTTCCCATTTAGATAGTATGTTAACGTGTATCGATGCATATACATTTACTAGGTTTTACTACATATTGACGTACAACTAACATACTTATTAAATGGTAACTTCGTTTACAACATAGATGTTTATGATTCCTTTCTTCCTCTTCCAACATACATTTTATTTGTTAGAATGGAATTAGCTGAACAAATGACAAATGTAATTAATTTTCCAGATATGACTTCATCCAATGTTCGTGTACCACCATTTCTAAAATTGTCAGAAATAGTTGATTATGTGAAAAAGTAAGTTGTGTAATTTTTGCCCGTTTCGTTTCCTCTTCTTCTTCTTCTTATTTTTAAAATGCATTTACATGTTTATAAAAGCCTTTGTATATTATATCTGTATTACTTTGTGAATGTCTAACTTTATCTATACAAGCACACAATATGGTTGAGATGCAAAATTCTAGTCGTAGATATCTCCGAACCATTATTAGGGTATTATGGGACGATAACCAGGTAAGCAACACCGAGGTTAAACATACGGTATTCTGTAATAATGATAAATTTTTCAATGAAGCTGTAAATCTTCATCAAACTCTTATGACAACTGAATCTTAACGTACATTTATGCCCGATTTAATGTTGATTAAGACTGACTAATTATATTTGCGCACCTAATCTATGGTATATTGATTTCATAACCGATTACTAAACTCCCTTTACTCTATGAATATTAAACTGAAAGTAACTAAAAAGTAGGTGACTGTACAGTATAAACTTTCTTTCTTCATAGTTTATTATATTCTTAGTAATTGTAACTTTAGTCTGTTTTGATGCTGATAAGAAGCATCGAAATAGAATGAAATCATTGTATTTTGTAAATCTTATTGTCTTTGCTTTGTTTAAGTTTATCAAAGATTGAAGTTAAATAAAGTAGGATATATCATACCACTTGAACATCTCATTGGTTATTTTAAGGAATAAATAGTTTTATATAGAATGTGATTGCATTCGAAACAGTGGATACTACTAACATTGACTTAAGTACATTAAACCAATTAATCGTAAATATAAAAATTTCATTCTTAACTACACATAGATATTGGTACAAGGAGGCACCAAATACATATGCGCCACACTAATCTCATTTGATATGTGTGAGGGCTGTGATACTTCCCGGGTGCCCAAACCGAAGCAGGTGGTTCTCTTAGACGGCCTTCGACCTGAAGGTCTGACCCTCAAGGCAGTGGAACAACATGAGGAGATTCAGTCTCATGATAGCCGGTGACCAATAATTGGTTCATGGGTCAATACACCAGTTGGTGGAACTACTAATAATCCAGGAGCACCTCTGAATAAAAATTACCATCCTGGGTCACGACTCATTAGCAGCAGTGTATCCTCACGAGCTTGCATACCGGATCAAATTAAATACCTACTTTTTCAGAGAGGTATTACCTCGGGGTCCCCTATTCTCACTCACTTTCTTTCGGTTCAAAATATTATGATACAGCTATCATCCGGTAGTAGTTATCTCACATCCTAATAAGAACTTAACTGTCACGATTGTTCATAATATATTGCATAAAAACGTTTTTGACATATAAATTAGAAATCATGCAATACCAGTTAAAACGTATTACATATACAGTATCATCGATGTTGATGTAATGTTAATGAAACAGTCAAAACAATCTACAAAGTTCCATTCGTAATGTACTAACCAAATAATATGATGTAGTATGAACAGAACAAATTATAACTGTATTTTTACCAGATCAGTATTCATTATGGTGTTACAATTGAATCCCACTAAAAAAGTAACTTAAAACTTCAATTCCCATTGCCTCCTCTCCAATTATTATGTTGACTCATGACAGTGAATGAACATTAAAGAGTCTATTCGATTTCATTATTACTAATGTTAGTTACAATTAAATGTATATGGGTACGCATAATGTAGTGAGATTTAGTTGCACACACATGATCAATGTTTTCGTTTGTGAAATCATATTTCTATTTTCAGTTGGTTTCAAATTTATTTTCAGGAAATAATGCATTTTGATATTGAAGTTTTGTGAAGATGTTTTAAATATTTTTGGGTGGTTTAGTGTGGATTTTCGTCACAGATATTGAACTCAACTAGAATACTATTGAAAACCATGAGAACACCAGACAGTAGTTGATTCATTTTGATACGTAATAAACAGACAGATATTATCAACATAGAGCCTGATATAGATGTGGGTTGACCCAATTCCCGATACTAGATTAGGTATGATAGAGAAAAAAAAGACTTTTCAATAGTTTTCCCAGGTATCAATGTATTATGTCAGTAGTTTCTTAACTGAGTTCTACCATTAACGAATGACCTCACCCTCTTACAAATCAATCATTTCTTGAATTTGCCCCTGTTTTAATGGCAAGTATGCAGCCTAGTAATATCCTGGATTTCAAAACTTATTGATAATTCTGATTATAAATTTGTCTTCTATGGTCACTCTCCCTCATTTTGATCAGTCTTATGACTTATTAAGATAATCATAACTCTGCTTGGGGTCCCTCCGGGGGCTACTGCTGGTCCCAAGCCCGGATAAAGGAGGGTTGGGCATGGGGTTAGCGACTGGATTACGTAGAAAACTAACTCGCTAAAACAACGCTAACCAGAAAAAGTTATTCAAACCTTCTAAACTCTGCCCTGGGAGTCAGGAGGTCTTCATTTAGAAGAGTTATGATGCCTCATGATGAAAGCCGAGTTCCTTCGGAAGTCACGAGGCCTATGCCCCTTCCGACAACCAGAGCAACCATTTATTTAGGTATATGGAATACTCGTATAATGTGGGAGACCGGGAGAGTCTTCCAAATTGCTGCAGAAAAGGTAATTATGGTGCTACACTTTCTATGTGTATATGTTTTATTAGCACTATATATATATATATATATATATTCTTTCCAATCGTTTTTTTATTTATTCCTTGTTACAGACTACCTCTTCTACCGTGTAAGGATTCACCAACACTTGTACCAATGCATTGTTTACCCGATGGTTTTACATTTCAACCACATTCTTTGTTATTAGTACAACATATGACAGGTAAGTAGGATATTAAGAATTGGTTTGGATTATTATTACTGCTGCACTCATCTATCCCAAACTCATTCACTCACCATGTTTCCATTATATTTCAGTCGACTATTTTATTGAATTTTGTTTTTTGTTTCGCTATGTCATGTTATTACAGATACTTCCCAAGCTTTTGGTTATCATTTTTGTTTTAAAGCTGATTCATATCAAGAACTTGATATTAAGCTGGGAAAAAATCGCTGAAAACTCAAAAATATTGTTCTAGATAGGTAGTTTGTGCAGGTTAACTACTTATTGACAGTGCCAACTCATGATTCCATACTGTCAGTGTGTTGTATACAACTGAAAACCCTGTATATATCTTCATCAATCTGTAAATTGTCACAGTATAACACCGCAGTGAGATGAATATCAAAGTAATTTTAATAGTATCTGTGTTAGCTAAAAAGCTCTGTAGATAAAGAATATGATTTGTGAACAACGAATGAATCCACGAAATAAAAATAATAAAAGGATCTTGAAAATCATGATTTAAAGTCAAATAAAGAGTAAATAGATCTGGATCATTGCAACTAATTCTGAGCTCTCACCTAACATCATCTCTTGCTATCGGTCACAATAATCGTCTAAATCCCAACTAGATTATCTGGTTACATTTCCTCCCTTCAATTTTCAACCAGTCTACTTTTACACCTGCAAACATCACTTATCGAGATAGATTGTTATGGAGAATACGTAATACATGTCCGACTTTCGTTATCTCATAAACTGACTTACCACTAATCTGTCTAACACCTCGAGTCTCACATTAATATTGCTCACTTGTTCGTTCAAAATATATGCGCGGGAAATCCTTCTACGGCACCTATCATCGAATCATTGTTTTCTACATTTGAAGACCGCGTTTCACTCATAAAGTAAAATAGAGCGAAATATTGCACAAGGAACTCTCCTCCTTGTTGCTAACATTCAAACGAGCTTTCTGAATCGATACCGAACTGCACCAGAATATCAAACGTGATATTCTTGGTTCACACATTGGGCATTACATATTTTAAACTGTTTGCGATCCCTGATTGAGAAAAATTGTTCAAACGTCTCGATCACATCTTAATTCAAAGTCTCAACCGAAGCCGTTTGATTGAAACTGTCACTTGTCCTATAGCACATGTTTACACTCGGATCATTCTCTAGTTTGAGCAGGACTATTATTCACTCTCAATTCAGGAAACAGAAAGTATCGGCAGAACATTGCAGGGAACAAATAGTATTTGTAATATCCTAATGAACTAGAAAAATTAAATTTCGTGACTCAGTTTCAGCCAATTCTTCATAGAATAAATAACCAAATTAAAATTAACCCAAGTTCAGAAATATAACAAAGGAACAAAACAAGAATATTAGATGCTTTGTTCCCTCGTACTATTGGGTTACACTGGGTCACAAAACATCAGGAAATCTAATTTTTCTACTTATTTTTATTTATAACAATCTACCCAATGCTCAATTTATTTGAAATTATTAAGCCAAACCTTGGTAGTAGTAATAATACAGACTTTATGGAACAGTTCAATTGGCTTTGGAACACATTCCAGTTACCGTCTATTTTCAAGCAACTTGAGCTTCGATATCACCTACAACGGTTTTTGTGTTTTTATTTCTTTTTGAGTCATATCTTTGATGCATCATCTTTCCTATTAGCAATGATACTGTTAATACCTCTACTATTGTGGAATTTTGTCTGACAACTTCATTTTTGTGCGCTAATGTCGTATGACAACTTGAACCGTTGTGACTGACTAAAAATTCTTTTCGTTCTCAAGTATTTATAAAGGATTTTGCATTATTTTGAACCGGAATCGTTATATGCTTTATATGAAGTGACTTTTTACACGATCTAAATAGTATCATCATGTTTTGTTTAGTTGTTGTTCAGTCATTAATGAAACTTCAAATTTCTATTTATTTTTGTATGCTTATAGATAATTGGACTGAAGAGATTAGTAGGAGTACTGGAAAGGTGTATTACTTTAATCGAGTGAAATCTGAATCCACCTTCGATTTACCAGAAAGTGAACACTTGTCATTCACGTGAGTACACTGTTTTGAGTACTTTTTTGTATAGTCCGGGTCTTTGAAATACTCTATTTTCATGGGTTTGAACTGTCGACCAAGTGATTGAAAGTTGCATGCCTTAATTATCTCAATTGTTTCATTTACGTACTGCTCCGATAGTGGTTTTTCGACAATTATATCGCATATGTTTGATTAGCCAGGTATTTATCGTTGTTGTTCACACTTGAAGTGTGACAGAAAAACAAGAAACGTAAATAGGTTTCTTGGTTTTGAAGTATTGGAGCTCCTAAATAATTTACTACATATGTGCTTTTAGACTGTGTTCTAGAAAACTGATTCGATTGATAGTGGAAAGAGTCTCCACTCTTCAAATCAAATGGTTTGTATTTAGCCGCTCGTTTATAGCATCCTCAATGGAAGTCTTACAACTCTGCAAAGATGAACTAGGTTGGTGACTACGGAGAGTTTATCTGCAGGATTTGTAAGAAACTGGTTTGAAACTAATGGTTCATATGTGTTTCGACATTTTGAAGAAACAAATGTACGATACCACAAGATTGAATCTCCTGTGGTTGCTTCATTGCTTTTCTTTTTCAATTGAACGTTTTTGTCAAAAGCTCTCTTAGTGTCGTCAAAGGAAATCACTTGCTTTGTAATATCAAGTCCTCCCTCCTCCTCAGTTTATGATTATTTCTAGATTAACTGACTAAATACTCAAGCTATAACTGAATATCTAGTATCATTTTTATAGATGCTTCTGATCTCTATGAAAATACTAAACCTACTAGTATAGCTTCTTTTACCTTCCGACTTCGTTCACTGTCTTGGGTTTCGAATATTGCAGTCAGTCAGTAAGAATGTAGAGCTTCGTACGTACGTACATCCATTCGAGTTGCCATACCACATTACCACACAGATATAATTATCGATTCAAATCCCATAATGGTAGAGATAGTAAGAGTATTAGCAGTAATCGGAGACATTAGGGTTTGAAGATGTTATTCAAGAAGTATAATTCAGTGAAACAAATTTGGAAGGAGAAAAAAGAAAGGGACATGAAGAGTTCAGAAGATTAGAATTTGGGAGAACACAAAGAGTGGATGCACCTGCGCCATTGCAAAAGATTTTGAACCATGTCATTCAAGGTCTCTAACCATCGGTCGCTATCGTCTCACGGATCCCAACCAGGTAATTTACACCTACCAACATGCCTCAGTCTACTTGTCAATGACTTCATAGATTTGTGCCATGTTTTGATCTAGCCGCCCCTGTCTTTCTTCCAACCTACTCGAATATTGCAAAGGTAGGTTCTTAGATTTCAGTCAACTCTATACCAAACATACAATACTTGTTTTAAATGGTTTAATATTTCTCTACTAATCATCTTTTATTTATCTATCACAAATTATTATCATCATGTCTAATTTCTTCATTCTTTTTTTTTCTTCTATTCTCCTTTGTTGTTCAATACAGCGATACACTATACACAAAACTACCTTGGATAACAGAACAAAAATATTATCCAAGTGTTACTACTTTAGTACAATATTTAGAAAAAATGTCAGATCCTTATTCATAGTTGCTGGGTGATATGCATAATTATTCATTGGTTCAGATTATTTGTTTTCAATTTCATTCTAGCACACACACACACACTCACAAACACTTTTTGTATGTTTCTTTTTTGTTTATTCATGAAGGAAAAACAATAACCTAATTGTTTGCCCCTTTGTATAAATTTTTTTCTTGATTCGTAGTGTTTGTTTTATCGCAAAATATTTTCAATGATTTATAAGAGGAGTAAAAGATGATGATGGGGAGGGGGGGATCCCATTCAACTAAAAAGGTGGCGGTTTGGATTATTTTGTTGTTAGGTGATTAAAGTTATAAAACTAGTTATGGACAATTTTTTTTTTAGTTTTGCATAAAATTTAATATTTGTTACTGTAAGTTTTTGTTTGGCTTCCTCAAGATTGTCTGTATCATACAGCGTTTTCAAAGTTGATAACAATGTCTTTTGTGGAATCCCATGAATTGATATGACATTTAGTCCTTTCTCTTCTCATATAATATACCCTTGTAGGTCAGGTTAATTTTACATTTCTTTTCAAAAGAACCAGACACGATCCAGGCTTAAACTTTATAACCTGAACAGTACAGCTCAATCCCGTTTCACAGGAGAACCAGACATCATATAGGCTTTAACGCTACAATCTGAATAGTACAGTTCAATCCTGTGGCAAAACCACACAGGTACCAATCACCCTAATGTAATGTGTATAGTTGATTACAAAATATTAAAATGAAATTGTTTTTCAGGGATCAGTTTTCATGATTAGTAAAATTGTTGTCTAAGGTTATGCAAAACGATGTTGATGTTTAACGAGTAATTATGTTTTACATAACATATTCAACTTCTCTATCCCCCTTATTAGATCAGTTCTGGATATTGGACTGTAATTTGTTCATCAAATGATTTCATTTCGGCTGTTTGGAGTTATCCATAACTGTTTATTATGAACATGTCAGTGTAGCGCAGCCAATTTATCGGAATAAAAACACAAATATAATGAGTGTTAGGGTTTGAAAAGAATTTCTCTACTGAAAATCATTCTGTTATATATCAAAAACTGTCACTAAATGAATGGAGAAATAATTAATGAGACCCAATATATCAGTGAAAAAGAATGAAGATAATTCAGCGTAGAGAGTTTTCTTGACGATTTAATTTACCGAAGGTTTACAGTTATATTCGTCGTTAATTTCACTTGCCCCCAAATGCCCCTGTACAACTGAGAGTGGGGAGAGTCAGCTCTCCCTCTCGAAATGCTCTCACATGGTCACGTATATACAACCACTGCCTTCTCGAGGCCGAGGTGTTGTTTACGAAATTGAGAGAACGGAAAGAGGGTTGGTGAATATGGAGGATCCACCTAGGGGGCTTGGAAAATCCAAACCAATGGTGCACACGGACACCAGTACCCTGAAGGAACAAATAGTGTATGAACCAATTGTTGGTCACCGACTACCATGGGATTGCATCTCCTTATGTTGTTCAACTGACTTGCGGATTAGACCTTTAGGTCGAAAGCTCCGGGTGTGGCCATCTAAGGAAACCACCTGTTTCGTTTAGGCCACCCGGACAGTATCCCAGTCGTCACACAAATCAAATGATTTATGTGGCGCATATGTATTTGGTGCCTCCTTCTACCAATGTTTACGTGTTTAAATAAATAAATCACTTGCTAAAATAGTAAAAAAAAGAATGATGTTGAACAATTAAACATTCTTGAAGTGTTATGTTATCATGAACTGTTTACGAAAATCAGATATTGAAGGGAAGTTATTTACTAATCGATTTATGAGAAACTTCAAAGATAAAGACAATTGGTCCACTTGAAAGCTATTAAGAACAGAATAATTGAATGCTCTAATGATGACCAATTGATAGTTGTAAATATTATTGAAAAATGAGTAGAAATAATAAATCATAGATTACGGAAGATTGTGAAAGGAAGTTTACGGCTATGGAAGAATAAAGGACTGAATATATTGTCTACGTAAGCAAAGAGTAAACTTGAACAAATGGATAGTAATAGTCTCTTCTGTACATAAGTTTTTTTCATTTGCAGTCCTTTTGAGCTTACTCTTCTGACCATAATTTTAAAAGGGGATTCTGGTGAAGCAGAATGACTAGTATTGAATAGGTGCTTCAAGATAAAAGCTTTTGACAGACTTTCTCAATCCTTTAGACATCTATGTAGATTAATGTCCAGAGATGCTTTTCGAAAGGGCAGATTGATCAAACCCAAAGCGGGAGATTATCCTCCACACAATTACAAATCATGGACTGACTGGTAAAGATAATACAAAGCTTAAGCGATTAGAAACTTTTTCTCAGTGATCTCGAAAGTCTTTCACAGTGCTACTGTAGTAGCTCGTTTAAATTGAGTTTCCATAAAGCAAGAGTCCTCTTTGGTGCTATAGACACTGTCTCATATTGTTGTTTTGGCTTCAGATTTTTCTCAATAAATCTGGATTGTTATGTCTTCTACTTGATTGCGGCAGAATACGACATGCAATTAACGGCACTCGGACGTGTAGAACCCCACAGTGGCGAAATCAGATGTAAGAAGCAGGGAAAGTGATTATAGAGTATGAATAAAAAAGGTACAGAAAAACGGGTACTTATGGTTATTAGCGTTGGCTACGACATCATTATAATTTGGTCGATCCGCAAGGAAGCAATTTATGCTATTGTCTAATCGTAGGATGCCACATCGATTTTCTAGACAGCTATAACAGGTTTTCATTGGGTGGAATCTCTACGGTTCGTTAGAGTCTCCAGAGACTTGTGCTTTTCGGAGGACGTCCCAATATGGATATTCATTATTCATAAAGATTTGCTGCAATTTATCAATTTCGATATACATGGCATTTTCGGTAAAATTTCGTCTAGCTCTCTTGCAGAGAGTATGGATCAGTTTTCTCTTTTGCTTCAATCTCCAATGCTGGGTCCCATCGCGGACAATTAGTTTGTGAATATAGTGTTGTTTAGCGTTTCATTATATCTAACGTTTCCTAACATTGTAAATTAAAGTCGGTTTTAAGTAACCAAATGGATATGATAATAAAGTGTTTTGTGTTGAATATAAGAATTCGTTTCTATTTATTTATTTCAGTTCATTATGTACTACACATTAAAACACCAGCAGTCCGAATCATATGACTGATTTTTTAACGCTACCCCAGTTTGTTAGAAGTTTAGAACATTTGCTGTTAGTATGATAGCGAAATGAAAGTCATTTGTCGTTTGTAGCGATACGTTAACGGAATACGATCTGGACATGAGATTATACGATCGCCAAATTGGATAGAGTGATATACATAAATACAATATCCGACTGACAATAGAGAACCAGGTTATATGTTTACGATAACACGTTACAAACTGTCTCCAGTTAATGAATCAAGGAGTAGAAATCGGCAATAGAAAGGAATTCACAATATTATTAGTTTTTCAACGTTTAACAAAGCTAAGTGTCTATTTCATAGGTCTATCACAGTCTACTGTCTTATGACATCAGTTTTCCATTAATGTTATTTTCGCCAAGTTGGCCGATGTCTTAAATTTATCATTATTGCATGGGTGTTTTCGTACGTTTTTCTAACTATCGACAAGTACATATACTTTCAATCGGCTGCTTTGTAAGATGGGTATTCGCTGGGTAGTTTAATATATGGAATGGTCAATCCGGTTATCCCATAAGAGATTCATGAAAATCAAAAGTTCCACTAACTGGATCCATCCGCCTAATCTATTTTATTATTCTTTTTAGACGCTATTAATTGTCTTCAAATATCAGATTTGTCAACTTCTATATTGCTCATAGAAATTCTGAATTATCAGACAAAATAGGGTTATATTATCGATTAATTAACCACAGTATAAGTATGTCTAACCAGTCATTCTCAAACTGATGAGAGGGTAATACAATAGTTATAACTTAAACATCCGTGATAATACATTCATGCCGTATAACACACAGTTGAAAATGAAGTGGGTACCAAATAATTTGTTTAGTTCATTTACGTCCATATGATGCAGTCGTAAAGGGTACCCAAACCAAGATATGGTATTAGTCTACATTATCACTAACTGGTGATCTCGATCATTCAAGTAATTTTACACTACCTAGTTGGAGTTCACGATGACTGAATATCTTTTGTATCAAAATCGACCAATAACCCGGATACACACATTCTCCTTTACACTAAGTTTCAACACTATTACATATTCCTTGTATCCAGAATTCTGGTTAGCGCTTTTTAGCGAGTTAGTTTTCTACGGGATGGGGTCGCCAACTCTCCCCCTTTACCCGCGCATGGGACCGGCAGTAGCCCCAGATGGGCTTCTAGGCAAGACCTCACTTGCATTTCTCAAGGTCAAAGAACACGTTACGCCGAGAAGTGGAAACAGAAAAACATGAGAAGAAAAAACAACAATTGGATAGAACTAGAAAGAAAGGCTCAGGACAGAATGGGTCGGAGACTGCTGGTCAGAGGACTATGCTCCATTAGGAGTAACAGACGTAAGTAGGTAGTAAGTGTTCAAAGTTCAATTATATTATCTGTGCTATGTTTTTCTACCATCATAGATCACCACTTAACTTCTACTTTATATATTTTATTCATTTAATCTTTTTTACGCTGTAGTTTGTAGCAAATTATGTCAACGTACATTGATGTTATCATATGCAGATGAAGACAAATAGTGTAGCAGTAGCCTCTGAATTATGAGGTCTCAACATACACAAGGGAAAAACCGAGGTCCTCAAATACAACACGGAGAACATCAACCCAATCATACTTGATGGCGAAACTCTGGAGGATGTGAAATTCTCCACTTACCTAGGAAGCATCATCGATGAACAAGGAGGATCAGATGCAGACGTAAAGGCGAGGATTGGCAAAGCAAGGGTCGCATTCCTACAATTGAAAGACATATGGTACTCAAAACAACTTTCAACCAATATCAAAGTGAGGATCTTCAATAAGAATGTCAAGGCAGTTCTACTGCTCGGAGCTGAAACTTGGAGAACTACTACAACCATCATCAAAACAGTACAAGTATTTATGAATAGTTGTCTACGCAAGATACTCAACATCCATTGGCCGGATACCGTCAACAACATCCGTCTGTGGGAGAGAACAAATCAGCTTCCAACCGAAGAGAAAATGAAGAAAAGATGTTAGAAGTAGATAGGACAAACATTACTGAAATCACCAAACTGCATCACAAGGCCATCCCTAACTTGGAATCGTTAAGGAAAGCGGAAAAGTGGAAGGTCAAAGAACACATTACGTCGAGAAATATAAGCAGATATGGAAAGGATGAATAAGAACTGGAAGGAGTTGGAAAGGATTGCCTACGACAGGTTTAGATGAAGAGTGCTGGTAGGCGGCCTATGCTTCTCCACGAGGAGTAATAGACGTAAGTAAGTTACATTGATGCCATATCCTACATCATATTTGATTAATTATCTTTTTTACTACAAAGAGCATTTATTAGAGAATTCACCAGAAAAAGAAATGGTTCACTCTTTAAAATAATCTGTACAATGATGCATTATAAAAATCAATACTAAGAGTGTATGATGTAATTTTCATTTGAAACTCGGTTAAGAAATCTTCAATCTCTCATTGAGCCCATCTTCAATCTTTTTAGTAACTTCATGTATATATACGTAACACTTAAATCACAACTGTTCCACTGGATTTATTCATATTTACACGATTTGTATTGATTGTACAAATTCCTGGTGGAATATGACTATTGATATTCTTCTTACTACCTTATTATTATTATTATTATTATTATTATCATTATGAAGTAATAGTCGTCTTCCATGAAATTCTGGTGATAGAAATCGTCTTGTTTGTAATGATGATTCACATAATAATTGTGATGGATGATATGAAGTATAGTTTTGATTAGTCGGTGTTATATTGATCGGATGTGTTATAGTCTTGAAATGATGATGATTTGTTGTATTATTACTTTCTGATATATCTTGTATTAAATTTGATGATTGTTCATTATTAGGCGCTATTGTTGTTGTATATTTCATAAGAAGTTCACGACGTTTTCTTTGAGAATAACAACATATTATAAAGATACATATTGATGCAATAATTAAGATTGTAGCACATACTATTGGAACTAATAAACGTGGACCTGAAATGAAACACGAGAGAGAGAGAGGAATATGTAATCATTTGTGATCTTAAATATTATTAGGTTATGAAGCTACCGCTGAACACTGAATTGATCTACTATATCTGAGAACATATTAATGAAATACAATATAAAAATCCCGGCCGTTGTTGCTACCTTAATGTGGTGGTCGAGCTATACTGGCTGGAACAATCGTTTCTCAAGGTTCTACCACGCCAGACAGGTCGGTTGAAGAACAGTAACACTAAAAGTAACAAACTCAAGGTCGTACTGCTGACTGTAGAGAGGTGTGATGGCACTGAGGTATTTTCCTCAGACAATCAGCATAATAGCGATACTGCCTTCCCACAAAGGAAGGGTGGGGTTAGAAAAGGTCGACCCTAAAAATGCACACCTCGCCTTATCCTACGGATATCCGTCTCCGGTGGTAAGGTCCCAACAAGTACGGTGCTAACACAAGAATGTGTGTGAACGACTTTAAGCAGTTATCCATTGAGCACTGCGGTCACGCTCTCAGGTCACTAAGAATAATTTTAACCCAATTTCTTTTTCAGGTATCTCTAGAAGAACCCTTACACGACATGGACAACCGGAAAGTGATAACTAACCTCCTACCTCTAACAGCTTTCAAGATCACTGACTGACTGATGATATAAAAATATCGCGACTGAAACTTCTCTTCAAGTACGATTGATTCGTACCGATAATCATATTCTTTTAAGAACATATATGTCGTGTTGATGTAAGAATAAATCCATGTAATGAATGGCTGCCGTTTTTGTTTTGTCCTATTATTTTATAAAACTCAATAAACTTACATTATGTACTATATGCCCCAAATCCAATGTAAATTCCGATCCAATTTGCCTCGTACCATAAACCTAACCTCAAACCTGTGTTTTCACTATTCTGAGAGTGATTATTCAAAGATACCTATATTCAAAAACCTTACAACCTCTTCGTATTCTTCACCTTTAAAGGGAATATTTCACAGTCATAAAGTAGTACATAGCAAACTATCACAATAATAAGTAAACAGACAACTGATATGCATCACAATCATGCAGAACAAAGGGATTGAAAGTTATTAAATTGAATTACTGTTTAATAATATTTACACTTACCAAAATCATTTTCATTTACAACCATTGTATCAACTTGAATTTCGACTATACCAAGCAATACTCTATGCCAATAATCATCTAATTGATCAGTGCCTAAAATCATAGACATCGGTGGTAACGGTATGCCTTCATCATCATCATCATCATGATTACTGTCATTATTGGCAAACTCATAATTCATGTCATTTCCACTATTGAATAGTTTCAAATTGTCTTTACGTAATTTTAAATTAGTTGATGCAGCTAAATAAGCTTCTTTAGATAAATTTCTAGCTAATTCATGAATAAATGAATATTCTCTACCATCTGGACCAATTCGAACTTGATCATTCAATGAACTAAGTGTTACCTTTTTTTTAGGTAATGGGAAAAGAATAAACATGAAATGTATTGGATAATATGTTGATAGTGTATACAAGGACAGATAATTTTGTTCACTGAACTATATCCAAACCGAAACTAACAGTTTTCCTACCGCTATCTCTCGAATCTTTAACATTAAATTTCTGTCCGTTAGACAACACAATCGCATCAGGGAATACAATTCTGTGGTACCTAATAACTAGAGTAGGTTCGTGCAATATTTATTTCTTTGAGACAGTGTAGTTCATTTACATTACTGTCCGTATCCACTGGCCTAGTTCAAAGGTAAGACTGCCAACACAAAATCTTGACCCACAAGAATACTACAAATATAAAAAATGATATCCTGTCAAATCACACAAAGGAGTTACAAATGCCTCCGGTTAACCAACGAATTTGATGAAGATTATCTAGCATACGCAAGCACGATTATTCTACAAGCTGGTCGCTTTAAATTAAATGGATTATCAACTGATCAGTTTAAATGTCCATCGTTTGTTTTCTAGACTACAATTACCCACAGATGCTGAAGTGTGAACACGATTACTATTCTGCTTTGAAGATAATGGAATGACATTACAAATGATTACTACAAAGTGTGAACACCTGGTAAATCTAAAACATGACACTACAGAGATAGAAGCTAAAGGAGGAGAAACCTCAATAAATTATAATAATCATTCTGTCAAACCAAGCAGACAAAATACTGTTGGTGTCAGCAATCAACGCCAAGTGAAATAACGGCTTTGTAGTGAATAACATTTCACCAAAACTTGTCGTTATCTAAATCACTGATGTAATGTCTGATGTATTCTACTGATGTCGATAGATATAAGTAGTATGTATCACCAATCGAAAGTGAAGTGCCTTATGCCAGAAAGTTAAGAAGATCGAAGAGAAGTGAACGAGAACAAAGAGTGAGTGGTATGGAAATGAAGGAACAATGAAGTCTGACACGATTGATTGACATTTTTCAAATAAAGAATTTACTGTTTGGTTCTCAGATTTTACTGATATATTCTGTAAGATTGTGTTTAAATACATTTTGTTGTCCCCACTTGTGGGAACAATCAGGGCAGATATTGTGGATAATATTGAATAATAGTCACTCTGTGTATCAATTATTGAATTTAAGTCTATGATCTAAATATATGATGCTTACACTAAGAGAATCGACACTCCTAGGCTTAATTCCATCTAGAGTCATTATGTATGTATGTGTTGTCGAGGATTTCCAAAGATATTCAATCCTCCATTGTTTTTTAATGATGCTTTCATTTTTAAGAATAAAATTAATCAAGTTTAGGTTATATGATTAAAAGATGCTCCCGAGTGCCCTAGTACGGTTGAGAGTGAGGAGAGTCAGCTTTCATATGATCACGTGCATACAACCACTATTAGGAAGGTCCTACTCACTGCCTTCTCGCGGCATTACTGTTGTTTACGAAATTAAGAGGACGAAAAGCAAATATCCGGCGCTTTAATCGGGTTGGTGGATACGGAGAGTCCACCTTGGGGGTGTTGAAAAATCCTGATTCCAAACTAATGGTGCATATAGACTCCAATATCTTGAAGGAACAAATGACGTATGAACCAATCGTTGATCAACAACTACCATGGGTCTGTATTTCCTGACGTTGCTCCACTGCCTTGTGGTCGAGGGCTCCGAGTGTGACCTCCTAAGAGAATCACCCGTTTCAGTTTGAGAGCCCGGGCAGTATCACAGTCCACACACAAAACAAGTACCTTATGTGGTGCATATCTATAAAGATAAATAATCTTCTTCAATAATACTTATTTCACATCAAATACCAATAAAATTAAACTTACTTCTATTATATTTTGTTGTTCTATAGAATAACCAGCTTTTATATCACAACTTATACCGATATCCAATTTCCCACGACCCCCATCATCATCATCACCACCACCACTACTACTACTACTACCATAGTGATGATATTTTTTTAATGATGGTAAATTTTTTACAGCATTACATATATCATCAATAGTCGTTGAATATGACATACGTAATTTAGAAAAATGTAATAATAATCTAGCACAATGATTATTTAATATAAAACTATTTGGTCGACAACCCGGTAATGATTGTTTAAAATAATAATTAGGTAATAATTGTTTTAATTGTCCCTGTATTGATTGACTAGCATTTAAACAAATTGTACGTAAATAACATGGTGGTACAAAACAATCATTATTATTCAAACTATTTGATGAGATAATATGACATATTTCACCATTTTTACAAGCGAAACGATCATTTCGTCCAATAATTTGTAAACATGACCAATATCCGCAGAAATCCTAAAGTGTAGAAATGAAGTGATATGAAACAATCTAAATAAAGTTTTACTTAATTCTAGATTCTATACTAGTTGGAAGTTATTAATATCTTGCCCTCAAATGCGCTGGTATGGCCGAGAGTGGGGTGGGCCCGCCCTCCCTCTTGAAATACTCTCACACAGTCATGCGTATATAACCTCTGCCAGGGAAGTCCTACTCATTGCCTTCTCGTGGAGAGGGTGTTGTTTACGGAAATGAGAGGACAAAAAGCGAATGTCCGGCACTTTAACCGGATCCCAAACCAATAGTGCACATGGGCTCCAGTATCCTGCGGGAACAAATGGCGTATGAACCAATCGTTGGTCACCGGCTACCATGGGAATGTATCTCCTTATGTTACTCCACTGCCTTGTGGGTTAGACTTTTAGGTCAAAGGCTCGGGGTGTGGCTCCCTAAGAAAACCACCTGCTTCGGTCTGGGCACCCGAGCAGTATCACAGCTCTTACACAAATCTAATGAGATTTGTGTGGCGCATATGTATCTGATGCCCCCTTGTACTAAATTCTATGTGTTCAAATAAATAAATAAATAAATAACTACTCTGTGTGATTATAATCATTATATTCTCATTAGTGGACAGTTTGCAAGAGGTATTTCTTGGAGTTCTAGTGAAAAGTAGTGATCAGTGGAGTTCAACTGGGTTAGTTGTGAGATAGTAATTCACTGAAAACAATGGTAGATGTGTCTCTTAATTTCGTGGATTAGTTGAAGTTAGGCATTAACAGCATTGGATGCCGACTGACTCAGTAGTCCAGAGATTAAGCGTTCGCGCGTGAGACTGATATGTCCTTGGTTCGAATCTTGTGAGGCGAGATCATGGCTGCGCACTGCTGAGGAGTTCCACAGTAGGACGAAACGATCGTTCAGTGCTTCCAGGTTTTCCATGATGGTCTAGCTTCAATGAACTCATGAATTCAACAATTAAATTACTATAATATCCACAAAGCCTCTTTCTGAGTTATCAATATGGTGTATCTGCAAACTAAAGAGAACTTGATAAGTTCAGTTCCCTAATTGAATGGAACTGAATGTTTAGCTTAATTCTACTTCTTAAAAGAAACATTCCTATACCTGAACTCTGAAAGGAACTTGAGATGGTGGAGGAGATTTGTAGCTCAGGTGGATGAATTTGGTGGAGTTTTGTTCTCTGAGCTGGATGGTTTGGTCGTGGAACTTTCATCGTTCTTCTGAACTACATCATCAGCACAAACTTCAGATAGAAGTGAAGTGTTCGAATTTCTCCATATGTGTTTCACAGCTTGTTCTGTGCAGCTCGATGTTGATTGGTGCTTGTTGACCTTAAATTTATCATTGTTTACTTCTTTGTTTTGGTTGTGTCTCCCATTGGTTTGATTTTTGTTCCTATATTTATGCATGATTTTCCTGATTGGTTGATAAATTGGATTGATTTCAATATGTTTGTTGATTGCTGATTGACCTGAGTGCCAGGCTTCTAAAAATTCTCTGGTGTTTTTGGAGTTTCCTCTGTATAAGATTTCCACATTTTTCCAAGCGAATGAGTGTCCACAGTTGTCCACGGTATTGATATAAGTGAAGAGATATGCCGTTTGACTGCTAATTGGTGTTCATGTAGGCGAAGGTGAAGGGGGCGTCCGCTTTGTCCGATATAGTGTTTTTCGCAGTTGGGACAATTTATTTTGTAGATGATGTTTGATTTGTTTTCCTTTGTTAAGGTCAATAAGAACCAATCAACGTCGAGGTGCACAGAACAAGCTTTGAGACACATATGGAGAAATTCAAACACTTCACTTCTATCTGAAGTTTGTGCTGATGATGTCGTTCAGAAGAACGATGAAAGCTCCACGACCAAACCATCCAGCTCAGAGAACAAAACTCCACCAAAATCTGAAAGGAACAAAAACTCTGGGGGGGGGTAGAGAAAGAAATTTCACTATTATAGATGGCTTTTTTTACAATAAGAAACGAAGTTTGTAGGTTTATGAATGCTGTTGATATTCTGAAGGCTTTAATGGAACAAACTAAATTGAGTATCAAAAGTCAGTAGTTATTCAGTTAAGATATTACACAATCCATCGTTTTTCTAGACCTTTCTATGAAGCTCGTATTAAAAACTGGTTGCATGAATTATTTTCATACTTTTCCCAACTGCTGAAGACTTTCTTAAGGTGTCCCAACAGGACTGATTTTATCTTAGTGGAAAGAATCCAATCAATAATATGGAGTAGATGAATATCACATTCTTTACTACTCAGTGATTAATTAGTTTAAATATTTCATATTATCAATCACTCTTTAAATTGATCAGTGATAGCATCATTGAATACGATCATGTTTAAGATTGTTTCGCACCGATGAATGAATGTAAAATAGAACGAAAATTAGATCTAATGTTGCTTACATAAAATTGTTCCCTCTAGTCATAATGACAAGTTATTTGAATAAACATATTTCTGTTATGAGATAGTGGAGAAGGTTTGTAGCTCAGGTGTATAATTCTGATGGAGTTTTGTTTTCTGAGCTGGATGGTTTGATCGTGGAGAAGTAGGTAGAAGTATACCTGAAGTTTGTGCTGATGATGTCGTACAGAATAATGATGAAATCTCCACGACCAAATTATCCAGCTCAGAGAACAAAACTCCATCAAAATATTTCTCTTATCGATTCATCTGTTTTTTTTTCTGAATGTTTAAAAGAAAATCTCCATTCAATTGTAATAAATTCACTATCCTCATCTAGATTTTCATTCATTTGCTGTTGAGGATATCAGATCCTCAGAACTCACTTGGTAAATACCATATTTTTGTAATTTTTTCGGAATTTAAATTTCTTGTTTTCGCGTCAAAAACGCTCATTTTTACCTTCATGTTGTATTTCCCACTTGGGAGACTCTTGAACGCTATTGGTTCATTGTATCTTTTAGTGTGCTATTTTGTAACGGTTCCCAAGGGCAATTTTATGTTGTGTATATACGTTTGATTTGTGTCTGTTGTTATTACTTGTGCTTCTATCTGCTTGTGGAATATATTTCCCCATTTCGAACTTAGATTTCTCTCTCTAGTTAGCGGGGCTGGAACGCGTCAGAATAGCTAGCTTATTGGTCTTTGGTCATAGAGTCTTTTTTTCTGTTCTCAGACTAGGTGAACTCGTAATCTCTTCAAACATAGCATTCCCACAATAAAATATGGCTTTAATTTACTCAGCAAATATCAACTTGTGAATACAAAATTATTATTTAGTAGTAGTACTAGAGGAAGGCCAAATAACACATTACGTCGAGAAATAGAAGCAGATATGAAAAGGATGAATAATAACTGGAATGAGCTGGAAAGGATTGCCCAGGACAGAGTTGGATGGAGAATGCTGGTGAGCGGCCTATGCTCTTTCACGAGGAGTAACAGACGTAAGTAAAAGTAAAATTAGTAGTATATACTTACATCAGTACATATAATTTGTCCTTTATTACAATGACATTGTTGACAACTATAAGTCCAATTGTCATTATGATCATAAATTCGACCATAAAAATTACATGCTGGAGGTTTTGGTTCTGTTTCAATGATCACTTCTTCACAATGTCGACCATATCGTTGTTCTGGACAAATACATTCATATGTTCCAACACGATCAATACAAGTTGATCCAAATGAACATGGATATGAAGCACATTCATTAACGTCTATAAATAAATGGGAAAAGAGAGTTAAGAATAAACGAGCATATACTAACTTTCAAGCAATATTATAGGGTTTATTATATATATTAACATTTGTGAAATGGATAGGAGGATTTTATAGATCAAATTAGAGTGTAACAATTAGTCCAAATGATTAGGTATCAAGTTTTTGATTGAGATCATGAACCGATTGATGTTAGACCATCACAATTCAAAACCTGGAAGCACTGGACGGCCGTTTCGTCCTACTGTGGGACTCCCTAGCAGTGCTTATCCACGATCCCGCGAGCGGGATTCGAACCCAGGGCCTTCGGTCTCGCGCGCGAACGCTCGACCAACTGGACTACTGAGCAGGCATCCAATAGTGATAGTTTCTAACATCAACCAATCCACGATTAGATATCAAATGAACCAGTCAGTCAGTAACAACGTAGAACTTCGTACGTACGTATATCAGTTTGAGTTGCCACACCACATTAGCACGGATATGCAGTTCTCGACTCGAATCCCGTAGTGGTAGAGGTAGTAAAAGTATAAGCAGTAATTGGAAAGATTAGTGTTTGGAGATGTTGTTTAAAGAGTATAATCCAGTGAAATAAATTTGGGAAGAGAAAAAAAGAAAAAAAGGAACCATTTTATTGATTTTAAGAGATTGTAGGTAGTTGGCCGGAAAACATGAATCTAGGTTACATGTTAGTTTGTGTGTTTATCAGCAACATGTCCCTGCAATCGCAGTACCATGGGTGCTCACTGCTCGGAATGTCATGCTAGAACTAAATAAATGTCCAATGATTAATGATATATAATAATACTCTAACTGTGATCAATCTATGACAAATACAACCAACATTCATTAATTTAGTGGAGGCATTTTTTGCTATCATTAACTGATATTGAATGAATAAGTATTGTCGATCTTATATCCGAATGAAGAATAAATCAATGGTAACTATTAGGAATTATTTATGAACTATTATTAAATACATTCTTATTAGATAATTATCAAGTAACTAGTTTATGGATATATGCTCATTCACTTCACTTCCACTTGAAGTTTGTGCTGCTGATGATTTCGTTCAGAGAAACGATGAAAGCTCCACGACCAAACTATCCAGCTCAAAGAACAAAACTCCATTAAAATATATCCTCATTCCTTATATCATAAGCTTTCATTTGACAATATTGGCTACTGTTATACGAGTTACTATTCTTAATTTATTCCCAATCTATGTAGTTACAGTCTCCTGTACTCATAGCCAATTTTAGCTTGATCTTGTATAATTATTACTTTCTTTATTTTACGATGTGATGCTGTCTGGTTTGCTTGTATATAAACAACGTATATCTGAAATATATGATTTATACAGTGGAGGCTGAGATTGTTTTCTGCATTCAAACGGGCTAGGCTAGACGTGAAAAACTAATAAGGATTCAGAGTTGACTCAACGCTGCTAGTTCAGGTTGATATGTCATTAGTATGGCATAGTGCCAATGTCGTATACGTTGGCATTCTGATTGGCGATCTTGTCACGTGATAATTGACAAGGGGATAAAATTCGTAATAGTAAAGCATTAACTATTGATCAAACTCTAGTTATATGATCAAAGTAATAAGTTTAAAATGTTAAGTTAAATTTCCATTCAACCAACTTTACTTCTATTCACTAAAGGTTAGTAATAATGATTTGACTTGAAACCATAAAAGTTCAACTTCGATGAAGGAGGAAAACGCTCTAGTAGTTCAACGGAGGAGATACTTTTTACAACCTGACCATTTACAATAAACCAAATATAACATTGAAAAGGAAATATGAATTTGTGAATTAGAATTCCTCAACTTCATTTGACAGACTATCAATTTAATTGATGCTTATTTGTTGAAGAAGATGATGCATTGAACGGACTTCTCAGTTAGGACTGACAAACATAGTTCATATTTAATTCATTGCCTTAAAAACTACAAAATCGCTTGACTGTCTACTACTTCAGTCAGTTTAGAGAATCTTATCAGTTTGTCAAGTGTAGTGTTTGTAATAATGTGTCAACAAGTAGTTGGCGAAACTATAATTTATGGACGAACCAATCAGATTTAAGATAAAAGATCTGAGATTTTGGCGCGAAATTCACTCTTTCATTAGTCTAAATAGAGTTTGGCATTATAGCTGATGTCAATTCGTGATAAAAAAAAACCATAAATGTAATTCCTAACCATCACCCTCAACTGTAAATCATCACTGTAATTCCTCACGCTGTTTTATAACCCTTATTTGGTTCTGATTGTTAGGTGGACGCTCTCAAGGTCACTTAAGCGTCGCTCAAAGGTCGTCCATAAATTATAGTCTCACCCAAGTTGTTTATAATTATAATGGGACCTGGTACACATTTACTTCGGCCCACATTCATATATAGAAATGGGATTAACATAATAAATATCACAGTCAAAGTTAATAGTATCTACTTTAGGCCTTTCTAACGTCACTACCAATTACAATTTTGGATAAAGTAGGAGTTGGATGCCGGCTCAATGGTCCAGGAGGTTAGGCGTTCGAGCGCGGGGCTAAAGGTTCTGTGTTCGGATCCCGCGAGCGGGATCATGGATACATACTGCTGGATCCCACAAGAGGACAAGAAGACCGTCCAGTGCTTCCAGGTGTTCAACGGTGGTCTAAAATCAGTCGGTTTATGATCTCAATCAAAAACTTAATAATGTCCACAGCCCCTATACTGATAAAGTAGGAGTGTTGGACATGTAGTTGACAACTTTACCAGGTAAAAAAATAAAGGGACCTTGGTAAAAAGACACCAACTAGAACGTTCAGGATTAGGAAAAAATCAATAAACATAGAAATAGATCTTATTCATTGAATAATAAGTAGAGAAGAGCATGAAAAATTCGAAACGATTATCACATGAATAGAGATAGTTATTTCAATGGAAAATCATATTGTAATCATTAATATCCTCAATATGTCAAACTTACTTATTCTACAGTCTGTTCCAATGAAACCTTTAGGGCAATCACATTCGAAAGAATTAATAAGATCTTTACATGTTCCATTATTATAACTAAAAGATAAAAGTAGATGAGTAAATAGACAGAAAATTAATAATAATTACGAAACTTAATAGTTGACATCATGAATCAATTAAAGCTAAGCCACCATAAAAAAAACTGAGAGAGCTGGTTGACCGTTTCATCCTACTATGGGAATCCTCGGCAGTATGAACCTACGACCCCGCCTCGCGAGATTCAAGCAGAGGACTTACAGGTCTCACACGCGAACGCCTAACCCCTAGACCACTGAGCCGGCCGGCGTCCGACGGTGTTAGTGTCTTACTTCAACCAATTCACGAAGTTGTGCCACCGTGCACCATTGTCTTTAGTGAATTACTATCTCACAAGAGACCGTTAGATGCCGCCTCAGTGTTCTACAAGTTAAGTGCTCGCGCGCGAGACTGATAAGTTCTTGGTTCGAATCTCGTGAGGCGAGATCATGGTTGCGCACTGCTGATGAGTCCCACAATAGGATCAAAAGGCTCGTCAGTACTACCAGGTTTTCCATGATGGTCTAGCTTCAATGGACTCATGATCTCAACAATTAAATTACTATAATATCCACAAAACCCCTTCTGATATTAATTACGGAATTATTTCTAAAGATACTTTTCATCACGACCTGTCCACAGTTAGAGAGTCATTGAAGACTAGTAAATAGTGGCTAAGTGTTTTGTCTCAGTTGTTCACGACTCCGTCAGGAATTAAATTTAGAAACTTTTAACCTCTAGATAAGTGCGTGTCATTTATACTATTGGGTTGAAATCTAAGTTGTTCATGTTTCAAATTTCAGCTAGTTCAACAACTGGAAAGGATTGTTCAGGTCAGAGTTGTATGAAAAATCCTGGTGGATGACCTATGCTCCTCCACGGGAGATAACAGGCGTAAGTATGTACAGTAAGACAATATTTTTTATTCGACCTAAATTGAACAAAGTTGCGTATATTAAGTGAACCCACCATGGCATTGAATTACATTCATTAATTTCATTTTCACAATATTGACCATCGAAACCAGGACGACAGATACAATTGAAACTGTTACCTAAATCAACACATGTAGCACCATTTTTGCATAGATTTTTTTGTACACATGATCTTGTTTCTGGTCGACCTAAATTTGGAAATGAATGAATAAAAGAATTGAATGTTTAAAAACTGGATTATGTAATAAAACTTTTTATTATGTCAATCAGTCTCGACTTATTTCAAACCATTTCTTTGCAATAACAGGTTTAGTCAGTCATGATCTCAACTATTGAAATCACTATAATATCGACAAAAACCCTTTCTGATATTAATCAACATATGCTCTATAGTGACTGGCTTCAAGAGGTATTTCCTGGAGTTATAGTGAGAAGCAGTTACCATTGGAGTTCAACTGGGTCTGTTATGAGATAGCAATTCACTGAAGACAGTGGTGGATGTATAACATTTTTTCGCAGATTATTTGAAGTTAGACATTAACACCGTTCTATGCCGGCCGGCCCAGTGGTTTAGAAGTTAAGCGTTCGCGTGTGAGACTGATAGGTCCTGGGATGGAATCTCGCAAGGTAGGTTCGTAGCTGCACACTGTTGAGGAGTCCCACAATGGGACGAAACGGCCGTCTAGTGCTTCCAGGTTTTTCATGATGATCTGACTTCAATTGACTCATCATCTCAACTATTGAAATCATGAGTAAGCTAGAAGATCCAAACTGTTATCCAAATTATTATCTATTCCTTTCGTACCGATTATCCCACAAATGAATTCAACCTGTAGATGATTGAGCTGTAATCCAGTGGCCTATAATTTCAAAGTTATTTAATTTGAATAGGGTTAGATAAATGAAGATTTAAGGAGATTTACATGAATTCAATTTATTTAATAGTTGAAATCATGGAAAACCTGGAAGCACTGGACGGCTGTTTCGTTCTAGTATGAGACTCAATTTATTTACTTTGGAATATATTCTAAAAATAGGCCTTTGTTGTAAATGAATAAAGATGTTAAGTCATGCAATTTCTAGACATTTCTTGGATACAGAATATCAGGTAAAGATCATGAAAATCTTTTTTTTAGAAAGAATAATTCGTATACAGATTCTAGTCTTTTGAAATTCACTGAAGTGTGTGGATTGTGGTTCTTTCATTGTTCTTCTGGACGACGTCATCAGCATAAACTCCAGATAGAAGTGAACACATCACTCCATGACCGAACCATCTAGCTCAGAAAACAAAACTATCAAAATCATACACCTAAGGTACAAATTTTCTACACCGTTCCAGAATGTTCTTCAGAACTTCATATTTATTTATTGACAACAATAAATCCAAACATTTAACTTGGTTATCATGATCCTAGATTCATTATCTTATTAAATATTCATAATCAACCTTAGATAAGAATCATTACGGTAATTGTTGTGTCTTGTGGACTGCAGATTAGACAGCAGCAAATTATCGATCGAAACAATGACGCGTAAACACGTAAGAACGACCTAGAGTCCTGATTGGCCCTTCTTCCCTATCTAGCTTAGCTAGTTGAGTCCAGAACGCAAGTCTCAGCCTCGGATATATGAATCATTATATTTCAAACATACTCTGTTTATATACCAATCAAGCAGACCACATTGTACCATAAAATAGAAAATAACATTTGTACAATATTGACCAGTAGGAAGACGACATGTGAAATAAATATTGACCAATAAGAGAACAATACCATCTCGAAGTCCAAGAATAGCATTCAACTTAATAGAATAATTTTTGGGATATTTTTCTGAATATCCCAACAGTAATGATTTACAATTCCCCTTTTTTGATCATTTCAAACATGTAAGAAGTTCAGATGAATCTAATGAAACTAGAATGAATTCATATTCGACTTAAATCTTTGTTCTTATTCTTTTTTTTAAATAATTTAATACACATCATTAATTGTAAAACAACAGATTTAGTTGCCATGATCATAATACAATAATTTTGGAGGGCAACTTTTGATCGGCGGATCACCAAAGCAGGATCAGTATATCTACAATGGAAGAAAATCTAGAACTCAAAACAACTGACAATCAACACCAAAGTAAGAATTTTCAATACAAATGTCAAGACAGTTTTACTGTATTGGGCAGAACTACGACAGCCATCATCCAGATAATACAAGTGTTTATTAACAAGATCTGTTGGCCAGTCACCATTATCAACAACCTACTGTGGGAGAGAACAAACCAGATTCCAGTGGAGGAAGAAATCAGGAAGAAGCACTGGAAGTGGATAGAATACACAATGAGGAAAGCATCCAATTACGTGACAACACAAGCTCTCATATGGAATCCTCAAGGCCAAAGGAGAAGAGGAAGACCAAATGACACGTTACTCCGGGAAATGGAGACAGATAACCATGAGAAGAATGCCAAACAGTTGGATAGAATTAGAAAGGAAGATCCAAGATCGAGTGGGTTGAAGAATGCTGGTCGGCGACCTATCCTCCATTGGGAGTAACAGGCGAAAGTAAGTAAGTAACTTTCGAATAAGCTAAAAACATGATAGACTCGACTCACTAAATATTTAAGCTCATATATCTCTGCATGGGTTGGAACGACAATCGTTATATGTGTATTAGTGATTTCTGTCTACTATAATTTCGGTTTGTCAAAAAAATCTTCAATTTCATTTCAGTTTTTTCATTTAGATAGTAAGTTTGGTGTAAATCAAAACTGAACAGAATATAACAATGCAAATAGATGAATTCATTTCTCAATTCCCTTAAACTTTTTACAGTGCAATGTCGATTTCTTCTAAACATTGTTATCGGTGTCGTGTTGGTTGCCATATTAAGCCCACACAGATTATTCCAACTTCCGGACAAACTAATTTATTCATCCTTCTTGACCTACATGTTGACCTTGTTAATTATTCGCTTATCAACCATGACTGTTTTTATGTAAACGTGTGTGCATTTCTCATCTTACTCATCACATTTCTGTAGCTTATTTTAGTTCAGCCTATAAATATCGATTACCGCTTGATTAAGACGAGTTGGCTCACACTCTATCTTCACTGCGCGTCATTTCCCTCCGTTCTCTTCTCTTCGTTTCGTTTCTTCGGTCGTTTGTCTCAATCAATAATTGTACGAAATATATGTATTCTAAAATCCATTCTCATATTTGATTTATTTGATTCCGTTATTCACTAACGCGATTTAAGGTCATGATTATATACGAGGATTGACTGTTATGCCCCGATAAGCATAATGAATGGTAACCTTTGGGATACATTTATGGATTAATACTATGCGTATATTGTTATCGTCTAATTGTTAAATAACTAAACTGTTCATATTCATGTCCCTCTTATTATGAGTTTTATTTTGACCTATGAACTATTGTTATACGATTTACCATTCTTGAATTATGCCCAGTCTATCAATTACTACATCCCTCATTCACAGCCATATTTGGCTAAATCTTGTACAAATGTTGTTTCCTACTTTATTGGTACGATGTAGTCTGTTTGCTTGGTATATAAACCCAGTATATTTGAAATACATGATTCATATAGCAGAGGCTGAGATTAGTGTTCTGAACTTAACTGGCTGGGCCAGGCAGGAAGAAGGATCAATAAAGACTCTAAACTGCTCGTACGTGTTTTATGCGTCATTAATCTGATCGATAATTCACTGCTCTCTAATTGGCGGTATCGTTACGTTATACATTAACAGGGCACACAGGCCACAAGTTATAACATTGGCGATATGTATATTTCAATAACGGTCGTTCGTACGATCAACATGGAGTCAGTAAATTGGTTTATCAGATTTATTAGGTTGTAATTTGTTAATGATCTCATTTATAGATCAACTAAGTTTTATATTAACATAGAAATATTTTTAACTAAACTTACGTAACTGGCAAACAGATCCAATCCATTGATTATCACATTCACATTTAAATAGTCCAGGACTTAAATGATCTTGATGACATTTACCATTATTAAAACAAATTTTAGCCATATTACATGGATTATCTGTTTGAAATTCACACCAACGACCAGACCAACCTGGTGCACAACGACATTGAAAATCTCCTGGATGTAATGTATGCTGACAATAGCCACCATTTTGACATGGATTTGGTTGACATAAATCAATAGCTATAAAGAAAAGTAAGGAAATCAATCGATCATTTGATTCAAGAGGTTTCATATAGATTAGTTTACTTCATAAGTGATATTTGTCATGGATTGACAGCAGTTTGAAGGCGGGAAGTATTATTTGTATTGGATGATTGTAGTGTTTTATGAGAATGATCTAGAAATAATCGACTTTTTACGTTAACGTAAAGTTGAAGATTCATTGCTTTTTTGTTGGGAGCTAACGACACAGTCCAGCTGTCCAAACCAAATTACCATCAGAAGGGATTTTGTGGATATTATAGTAATTTCAGTGGTTAAGATCCACAAAACCCATCTGATATTAATCAACATATACTCTATAGTGACTGGCTTCAAGAGGTATTTCCTGGAGTTCTAGTGAGAATTAGTGACCAGTGGAGTCCAACCAGGTCTGTTGTGAGATAGTAACTCACTGAAGACAATGGTGGATGTGTTTCATTTTTGTGTGGATTATTTGAAGTTAGATATTAACACCGTTGGATTCCGACTGATTCAGTCGTCTAGAGGTTAAGTGCTCGCACACGAAACCACTGGGTCCTGGGTTCGAATCTCGCAGGGGGGCGTGGATGTGCACTGCTGGGGAGTCCCATAATGGGACGAAACGGCCGTTCAGTGCTTCCAGGTTTTCTATAATGGTCTAGCTTCAACTGACTCATGATCTTAACGTTTGAAATTTCATAATTATTTTATAATTAATGTGAGAAATTTGTAATAGAAAAAAATCACTTACGATGTTCACATTGCACACCACTAAATCCTTCTTCACATATACATTCATAACCTTCTAAACCACTTATACATGTACCATCATTCATACATGGCATAGTTTCACAATAATTAATTGATTGATGACAATATTTTCCTTGATAACCAGTTCCACAGATACATTTATAATCTCCATTATCTGTACTAACACATGTACCATGTTGACCACATACACCATAAGGATATGTGATCTCATGATGACTAATTAATAAATTATCATAATTTGATTGAGTTGAATTTCTCAAAATCATTGTTGATTGTTGAAGAGTTAATACTGAAGATGTTAACGTCAACGAAGAAGAAGAAGAAGAAGAAGAAGGATATGGGAATGTATCATTATTATGCATAATTAACATAGTTAAACATGGATCCATTAATGTATCACAACCATCTGGTCCACAATATGGTCTTTGATATTCACAAAATTGTCCATAAAAATTTTCTGAACATTTACAATAGAAACCACTAGATAATGTATAACAATAAGCACCATTTTGACAAAGATTTGGATTACATCCATTTATTGAAATCTTTCATAGAATAGAAAGAAAAAAAAAAAAAAAATAACAGATGAAATTTACTTTATCTTGAAAGACTACTTACATTGTTCTTTGAGAAATAAGATAATGAACTTGGAGATTTGATTGAGATTATGAACCTCCTCAGCAATACGCATCCACCATCCCACTCGCGGGATTCCTTAACGTTAGACATTAACACCATTGGCTGCTAACTCAGTGGTCTAGAGATTAAGCATTCACACGTGAGATCGAAGATCTTAAGCTCGAGTCCCCTATGGTGCAGGATCATGAATGCGCTTTGTTGAGGAGTCCCATACTAGGAAGAAACGACCATCCGGTGCTTTCTGGTTTTCAGTGATGGTCAACACATGAATTCAACTATTAAAATAAAATTGTTAATGTCGAAATAACTTATATGCTAAATGAACTTATGAGATTCATGATCAGAATAAATATGGTTCAGATAAGGTGAAAGAAATAATAGTCCAATTATAAATTCGATCAAATGTTTAGTGGAAGACTAAAGTTATATGAATTCAGTGGGAATTTATAAAGTGGTATGAGTGTCAAGGAGATTAGTCATGTACTCGGGACATTATTGCTAATAATAATCCAAAGGTAAGTGAATAACAAAGATAACAAATTCACTTGGTATTGTTTTACTTGAATCTTCCCATTGATGTTTTAGGACTGAAACTGATCAGTCTCTTATGCCAAATTAAAGCAATATCGAGGCATACGCACAGTATGCACATATGCCAATAAAAGACTGATCAATTTCAGTCCTAAAACATCAATGAGAAGATTTAAATAAAACAATATCAAGTGAATTAAACTTCACCCCATTGCACATGTAAGTGGTTATCAGGACTCAGTAGCCAAGTGGATAACGCGATGGTGTTTGAAGCGGACGGTACTGGGTTCGATTCCCAGAGTGAACATCAACTCTGAGATGCAGGTACATCCAGCTGACGAGTCCCAAACAGGACGAAACGCGCGTCCTGGATTCCACTGCTAGTCACTATCCATCTTTGCTTATAAAGATAACAAAGATTATATTTGACTAAGAAAGGTTGTAAGGTTTTCCTATAATTATGATTACTATTGATTCATTGGCCGTGAGGTTGACCAATGTAAGATAAGTGTTTGAAGATATTGATTTCATACACTTGGCTCCAGTTTTTTAGTTCGAACGGTTACAGCTTTTACCCTTTGAAGGACTTTGGATCTAACAGACCTTGAGAAAATATCTCGAACCCGATAAATAATTGAGAAAGATTGGAGTATACTGGAACTGTGACTAGTTTGCATGAAATGGCCTGATATCGAGCTGTCCACTTTTTTCACTAGATCTTTGCTTAACCACTCTGGAAGGTATTCATGGGCACGAAGATGTAAATTGAGATGGTGGAGAAGATTTTTATCTCAAATGGATGATTTTGATGGAGTTTTGTTCTCTGAGCTGCTCAGAGAACCAATATAACTTGCTGTATGAATGTAGTTGAAATGACAAATACAAAATTAGGTGGTCGTTCTAAATAATTCATCTTTTAGTCTTGGTGTCTACTGATCTACTCGTAAATATGAACCGTTAATAATCCAACTGAACATGACATAAAGTCTTCAATTGTATTAAGCGATACTTATGGAAACTTTCAACATACATGACTGATGAATTTCTGCCGACACTTAATTACACCAATGTATTTCGCTTGAATGAAACATTTGATAATCTTTTCAGAAACTCCACACAATGTTTCATCATCAGTGGTAGTGAATAAAACTTTAAAATCAATGAATGAATTATGTCTTACAACATTCTCATAACTGTAGTAATAATAATGAACTTGAAGTCATTTCTAATGAATTGATGATTTATATTATTTATTTAAACACATAAACATTGGTATAAGGAGGCGCCAAATAGATATGCGCTACATAAATCATTCGATTTGTGTGAGAGCTAGGATGCTGTCCAGGTGCTCAAATCAAAACGGGTAGTTTTATTAGTGAGCCACACCCAGAGCCTTCAGCCTAAAGGTCTGATCCACAAGGCAGTGGAGCAACGTCAGGTGATACAATCTCGTGGTAGCTGGCGTTCAAAAATAAGTTCATATGCCATTTATTTTCTTAGGATCCGGGAGCCCATGTACGTCAATGGTTTTGAATCAGGGCTCTTCATATTCACGAACCCGGTTAAAGCTCCAGACGTTTGATTTTCGTCCTCTGAATTTCGTGAATAACAGTAATGCCGCGAGAAGACAGTGAGTAGGACTTCCTTGGGATTGGTTGTATACAAGTGTCCATGTGAGAGCGTTTAGAGAGGGAGAGCTGACTCTACCCACTCTCAGCTGTACCAGAGCATTTGGGGGCTATTTTTACAACAGATTCATCATGTTATCAGTGAATATTTTTTTCTTACTCACTTCACAATTTTGTCCTATAAATCCATTTGGACATTCACATAAATAACCACCAGGAATTTCATGACAAATTCCTTTATTTTGACATGGTTTACTAGAACATTCACGATTAATTTCACAATGTCTACCTTCAAATCCAATTGGGCAAGTACAATAGAAATCATCTAGAAGATCCTGAAAGAAATATAAACAAACAAATAAAATTATTTCACTCTAATATATATATTAGAGTAGGAAATGAATAGAAAATTACTATATTGAATATTTCTGGATAATATTCATCAAAGATTGTTTTCGTTTTGGATATCATTCGGAATAAGAGATCACTGGATATCTTTGGATATACTCTACAGAAGTGCTCATTTACAATGTCGCCAGAGATCAAACTCTGAACCTACAAGTCTCTGGAGGAAAGAAAGCTTAACTAACATTTGAACCGGTAAAAACTAAGTTCTATTCTTAATTCAAATATCAATGCATATTGAAATATTAGGGAAATCAGGCTGTCGAGTCTCAAACTAAAGTGAATAGATGGAACATCAATATTCTAATATTACAAAATGTTCAAAATATAATCAATATGGAAATGTAGAAAATCTGCAACGTCTACTAACAAACAGAAAGATGACTAAATAAATACCGATTCTTTGAGATTGATTATGTAATATTCATCAAGTCACAGTTTATGATTGAAATAGCAAGAGAAGTGAATGTTCAACGCAACATCATTGTCAAATATATTGATTATATGTAACTAACTAACTGACAACTACTACTAGTAGTACTACTAGCATCACTATCAAAACGCTGATTCCAAACCAATGGTGCACACGAGTTCCAGTATCCTGAAGGAACAAATGGCGTATGAACCAATCGTTGGTCATCGGCTACCATGGGACCGCATCTCCTCAAAATGATCTATTGCCTTGTGGGTTAGACCTTCAGGTCGAAGGCTCCGAGTGTGGTCCCCTAAGAGAACCACCTACTTCGGTCTAGGCACCCAGGCAGTATCACAGCCCTCACACATATCGAATGAGATTTGTGTGACGCATATGTAATTGGTGCCTCGTTGTACCAATATCTGTGTGTTAAAATAAAAACTACTACTACTCACACTAATACTACTACTGCTACTAACACTACTAGCAATGCTACTAGTACTACCACTAATACTACTACTAACAACAACATTACTATCACTACCACCACTACGACTACTACTACTGCTACTACTACTACTACTCACGCTACTACTACTGCTATTAATGGTAATAATAGTGATAATAATAATATTACTACCATTACCATTATTATTATTATTTGGTAAGTAAAATAAGTTACTTACGTGACATGTTCCTCCATTTTGACATTTGTCCACACAATCATCGATATCTTAATTATTTAAAAAGGAAAAAAGAACAATCATTAGTAAATAATTATGTAATCTATTACTATAAAGAAATGAGAAATCAATAAAAGATTGAAGTAAGTCACGCAGTTCGTAAAGAAGTAAATGAATGAATATCATTATGCATCCCTGCTTATTATTGAATAATGGAAGACATACGATTAATGACTATGGATACGTTTAGTCGAATCCACTTCAAAGAACTGATCAGCGAAAGATATCAACAACCTTGTTTACTTACTTATTTACTTACGCCTGTTATTCCTCGTGGAGAAGCATAGGCCGCTCACTAGCACTCTCTATCCAAACCTGTCCTGGGCAATCCTTTCAAGTCGTTATTCATCCTTTCCATATCTGCTTCTATTTCCCGACGTAATGTGTTCTTCGGCCATCCTCTTTTCCACTTCCCTTCAAGATTCCAAGTTATGACTTGCCTCGTGATGCAGTTTGATTATTTGAGTAATGTATATCCTATCCATTTCCATAGTCTTTTCCTAATTTCCTCCTCAGCTGGAAGCTAGTAGCTTCTAGAAGCCTGTAACTTTTCTAGAGTTACTGCCAGTCCCAATCCCGGGTAAAGGAGAAGGGTTTAGTTTGGGGTTATCGACCCCGTCCCATAGAAAGCTAACTCGCGAAAAAAATGAACAACCTTAGATGTTATATTTCTGTTATTCAAACTGTATCATTCAATCTCATCTGTTTAAATATTACAGTTTAATTATTTTGTGCTACTAGATGTTATGTTAATATCAAATTATTTAGCTTATTAAGAAACAATACAAAATAGTCTTCAGTCTTTAGTAATAAGGATAGGAGGTCTATCGATCTAATATTAATAAGACGAAACGATCATCCAGTTCTTCCAGGTTTCCAACAGTGGTCTAACATCAATCGGTTCATGATCTCAATCGAAACTTATTATTCTCCACAACTCCTATACTGATTATTAACATATGCTCAATAGTGCCTAGCTTTGTGAGGAGATTGTCTGAGTTCTGGTGAGAAGCCGTGACCAGTGGAGCTAATCCGTGTCGGGTAGAAAAAGGTATCTACCTCAGTACAATGGAAACTAGTCGCACAATTTCGTGGATTGGTTGATATTAGACATTAACACCATTGGATGCCGGCTCAGTGGTCCAGTAGGTTAAGCGTTCGCGCGCGAGACTGAAGGCCCCACAAGCGAGACCGTAGATGCGCACTGTCGTGAAGTCCCACAATAGGACGAAACAGCCGTCCAGTGTTTCCAGGTTTCCAACGGTGGTCTAACATCAATCGGTTCATGATCTCAATCAAAAAAAAGAATCCTTACAGTTTGTAACACTGTAGAGGTTCAATCTCTCTTGGAATATATCAACAGAAGGTGTTAATATTATGTGTTCTGGTAATTCACTATTCGGTACGAGAAACAAAACTTCAGACGTAGATGATTTGATCTCGGTCTTTTAACTTTCTTCGAATGTCCTCTCAAATACAAACTAGTGATCATTATCAATTATATAAAATGATAATAATCTCTATACAATGACAATAGACAAGTCATTAAATGATGAGTACAATGATTGAGATCAACTGATTGTAAACAGACTAAATGAGAGAAAAAGATAACAATCATTTGAAATATACATTTAATACCTAGTTTAATTAATGAAGTTGAAGTATCTGTTCAAACTGTGAGAGAAAAAAACAACCCAGTCATAATAAGAGGAAAGAAAGAAAGTAATGATGATAAAGATAAATGTTAAGATCCTTACGTACTTTTTCTTTTCTAAGCTGATCCCTTGTATATTTATCAACAATGTTTGATTTTATCATCTAAAATAGTCATGAAATAGCATTCTAGGCATTCTATCACTTGTTTATCTCCAATGGTTACGATTATTGAGTCATTTGAAGCTAGAACATCATGGAAAACCTGGGAGCAGTGGACGGTAGTTTCGTCCTATGGTGGGACTCCTCAGTAGTGCGCATCCACGATCATGCCTCGCGAGATTCCAACCTAGGATCAACCAGTCTCGCATGGGAGCGCTTAACTACTAGACCACTGATCCGGCATCCAGCGGTGTTATTTATTTATTTATTTGAAAACATAAATACTGATGTGAGGGGGCATCAAATACATATGCGTCACACAAATCTTATTTGTTTTGTGTGAGGGCTGTGATACTGCCCAGGTGCCCAAATTGAATCAGGTAGTTTTCTTAGACAGCCGCACCCGGTCCTTCGACCTAAAGGTCTAATCCACAAGGCAGTGGAGCAACATAAGGAGATGCAGTCCCATGTTAGTCGGTGACCAACAACTGGTTCATGCGCCATTTGTTCCCTTAGGGTACTTGAGCCCGTGTGCACCATTGGTTTGGAATCAGGATTTTCCAACTCCCTTAGGTGGACTCTCCGTGTCCACCAACCCGGTTGGGGTGTTGGACATTCGCGTTTCGTCCTCTTAATTTCGTAGACAACAACCCCGCCGCGAGAAGGCAGTGAGTAGAACTTCCCTGGCAGAGGCTATATACGTGTGGCCATGTGAGAGTATTTGGGCAGGGGAAGCCGACTCTCCCCACTCTCAATTGTACCAGGGCATTTGGGGGCATCCAACGGTGTTAATGTCTACCTTCAACCAATCCGCGAAATTGAGCGACACACATCCACCACTGTCTTCAGTGAGTTACTATCTCACAATAGACCCGGTTGAACTCCACTTATTTATCTCTTTACAGGTTAAAAATCTATATAATGATAGTTTTTGATTCAGTATCTTAATAAGTCAGTATCTCATGTGTTCTATGTTCAAAACTTAATTTAATTGTAAAATGACAAAAGTCAAGTCAAGGAAACTTGCTTCATATGAGCATCTGTATTATAGATATATAAGTTAGATTAAATGACTAGGTAAGTGAAAATGGAGTTATTGACAGATAAAATAATGTAATGTTTATTATTTTTAAGACAGAAATGGATTCAATTAATGGTATTTTATATCATCTACTATCAATGAATCTCTTGTTGGTATATTGTCAGATCCTGATGCTTTCCCAATTTCCATTTGTCTGATGGCCATCGTGATTTCGTCAATCGTTGGTGGAGTGACATTGATAGGAAGATCTGTGCGTGTTGCTTCTATATCCGGTTAATTCAATCGTGATCGCCCTCTTCTTTGTTTTGAAAGATGCCTTGATAATCTTGGATCCATGAGGTGCCCATCCTATAAGTGCGTTACGTGCTTCTTTGTACTCCTTGAGTGTGTAAAGCACTTCTCTTTTCGTGACTGGAGGTACAACAACATCTCTTCCGTATCTAGCCTTAACTTTCCAGATTGGGTTCAATGAGTTTCGCTGACTCCGATTACTGTCAAGTTGTATCTCTTCATTTCGGTTGATATGTGACTGGACTTCCTGGTCTCCTACACTGTCCAGACATTCCATGTACCTATAATAATTGTTGCTTGGGTTGTTAGAAGGGGCATCAACCTCGTGACCTCCTTAGAATCTTGCTTTTCGCTATGAGGCATCATAATTCTTCCACATAAAGATCCTTGAACTTGGAGGACAGAGATTATAAGGCTTAGATCGTCTATTCTGATTAGCGTATATTTTTGCAGTGTTGTTTTCTATGGGATGAGGTTGATGTTCTCAGTTGTAACCCTCTTCTTTTATCCGGGATTGGGAACGGCAGTAACCCTAGAAGAGCTATAGGTGGAGTTGCTCCATCTTTATTACAATAAATATTCATTGGTTTCACGGAGTATTGTCATGTTATACGTTGACTATTGTTAAATTTCATACGGTCTGTTGCTATAGCATCAATCATCATATTGTACAATAAATGACAGGAAAACTTGAACATATGATTTGTGACCTAGAGTCAAATCCAACACAAACCAACAGTTTTCTTAAGATTTTCGTTACGTCTTACTGACTAGTATTAGATACCGGGTAACTAACTTCAAAAGTTTCCAGTTTACTACTTCCACTCACTTATTACCCTTATATTCTATCACTTCAACAGTGTTCATTCAGTGATTTCGTTGGTCTTAATCACTAACAGAGTTACTGAAGTGTTCTTCAGTTTTCTATAAGAAACAATTATGCCGCACAGATTTTGGTGGAGTTTTGTTCTCTGAGCTGGATGGTTTGGTCGACCAAACCATCCAGCTCAGAGAACAAAACTCCACCAAAATCATCCACCTGAGCTACAAATCTTCTCCACCACCACACAGATTTAAACACTTTGGAATCACTTCATAATAAAAGAGAGTAGGTTTTTTCTTCTCACGACTTGTCAACCGGTTGTTGTTTTATCTTATATTGATCTCGAAAAATCATCTCTAACCTATTGAAAATATAATTCTTAACGATATTTGATCTCAGTTGTTACTTCATAGCCGATGATATGCAGATGATGCAACTGTATGGAAAAGATGCTGAGATTGCACTGATGGTAATCAGTTCATCATACAAGTAAGCAGACTGAAATGTTGTCAAACATGGCTCCAAATAGATTCCAATGTATCATAAATAAGGAAATAACTGATCAAATTCTTTTAAATGTTAACTTACTTTGATCACAAAATTGTCCTGTCCAACCAGGTTGACACATACATTCATAATCAATCCCATTCACTGGTTGTATTAATTGTTTACAATTAACTGCATGTACACATTGTGAATTACTACATGGTGATCTTAATTGACAATTAGATCCTTTGAAACCAGATGGACATAAACATTGGAAACCAGGACCATCTAAATCTTGACATGTTCCACCATTTAAACATGTATTGATTAAGCAATAATCAATATCTTATCGAAATCAGAACATACAACAGAGAAAAAGTATGTTTTATTACAAATATAAATAGAAACTGAGATTTGTGTCTTACTGAATAATTTAATATGGGAGAAAAATTGTACCGTTAAACCGAATAATTATATATTCCGTAGTTATCACAAACTTGACCAGTGAGTAAGTAATGCAATTGTGAGGAAACGGGTACCTGGTAAGGATGGCAAATCAATTGATGAAGTAGTGAAACTTCATCAGTTGAGATGGCTGGGACACGTGTTACGTATGCCCAACCACCGACTACCTCGGCATGCGATGTTTTATGGTGTAGGAGTAGGTTGGAAGAAAGACAGGGGTAGTCAGATCAAAACATGGCACAAGTCCATGAAGTCACTGCGAAGTGAACTGAGTCATGTTGGTAGGTGTAGACTACCTGGTTGGGGACCGCGAGATGATAGCAACCGATGGTTAGAGACCTTGAATGGCATGGTTCAAAATCGTTTGCAATGGCACAGGTGCATCCATTCTTTGTGTTCTCCCAAATTCTGATCTTCCGAATTCTTCATGTCCCTTCTTTTTTTCTTTTTCCAAATTTATTTCATTGGATTATACTCCTTGAATAACATCTTCAAGCCCTAATGTTTTCGATTACTACTTATGCTCTTACTATCTGTACCACCATGGGATTTGAATCGACAATTCTATCTGTGTGTCAATGTGTTATGGCAACACGAATGGATGTACGTAAGTACGAAGTTCTACGTTGTTGCTGACTAACTGAGTTTTCACAAACTGACTTTCATAAGATAGCTGTTTAAACTGGAAAGTACTGGATAGTTATTCCGTCGTATTATGAAACTTTCTAACAAGGTTACTCCATGAAACTATCAGGAATCGAACCTAGAACTTTCAGAATCTTCTACTCTCCTCTCAAGATTCTAGGCCGTACAGAATTCAAGCTAGCTTACGCCATATGTTTCTGAAAAGTCAGGTAGATCAAATTCCGACTTTAGACTAATTGGCAGATGAGAAACGCAACTATGCACATGGTATTATGAGTAAGTGTATTGTTTATAGTCTACGTATCCCTGTCTGGATCATTTATTACGCCTTCATGTATACATGGTTTATGTATATTTTTGACTCGGTTCTGACATTAAAGCTTCCTACGCACTTAGTCTTCTCACTTCCTCATCGCCACTTGTTTCAACTATTAGGTGGTGTATGAAATTTTTTATTGAATCTGATAGGATAGTCAGATAACAAACATTTGAGTTATCATACAGGTCAATTAAGCTTATTGAAACGCATTGTTTAAAACATAAGTCAGACAAGTTGATTCAGAACAGACATTATGTGGCTAACAGCGCAATTCTCGACGTGCATGTCGTCTTATTTAGAACTCGTCAGCGGGATGTACCCTAAATAACTCAAAGTTGGTGTCCACTACGGTATCCGAACCCCATATCCTTCATTTTAGACGTAAACGTCTAAAGTATTAAGTCAAGCAACTTTTAACCATTGAACTTACTCTCTTCACAATGATCACCACGCCATCCTGGTTGACATTCACATTCATAAGTGATATTATCTTTTGATATACAACGACCACGTTTACACGGATCATTTGTACACGGTGCCAATTCTATATTAATTATCGGAAAATAAACAGGAAAATTAAAATTTTAATAGTTAACTTCATGATTCAATTAAAGCTAGACCACTATAGGAAGCCTGAAAGCACTGAATGGCCGTTTCACTCTAGTATATAACTTCTCAGCAGTATCCATCCACGATCCCACTTCGCGAGATTTGAACCCAGGACCTATCAGTCACAATCTGTTCACGGTTTGATGTCACATTCAACATCAATGTCAACTAGTTCAGTTTCATAGTGAAACGAATCATCAAAACTGTTAAAGGATATTTACAGCTCGTGTTTACGGTGATTAACTGACTTGAGACAAAATTCAAGTTGTGAATATTTTCGTTAATTAAAAGGATGATACAGTTTTCAATCGGTTTCCTTTATTTAGGTTAGTTACGTCAAAGATGATGACAACTGGAATATCTTTCATAGAAAACTGATTATTAATTTAGTAATGAAGTCAATCAGTGGAATTTGTTTCTCACCATCTATAATCTAAATACATTTTAATTGAATTTTCTCTCAATCGCATGTACTTAAGTTTGTAAAATGTACATCCATAAAGAAAAGTACTCGCAGTTATCCACCGCAAATTTTCAATGGTCATTTAGTGAGACTATAATGTATGAACGAACCAATAAGGTATAAGATAACAGCTCCTTGATTTCGGCGCGAAATTCGTTCATCCATTTCACTAAATAGAGTTTTTGCATTATAGCTGATGTCAGTCTGTGTTTATAACCCTAAATTTAACTCTAACCATCAACTGTAAATCATAATTCTGATTCCTCACACTTGTTTATAACCCTCATTTGATCGTAGTAATTAGGTGAACACCCTCAAAGTCACTTCAGTGTTGCTCAAATGTCGTCCATAAATTATAGTCTCACCGTTCATTTAACAAATTTATCTGACCTGCAAAATACTATACTGAAGGACTACAAAGTATATATCAATTACTTTTAACTAAGTGCAATTTCAACGATCTCTGTCTGTCTGATAGCCATGTCAAATCAACACACCTTTTTTATAATTACTACATTAGCTACTCATAAGTAGGTAAATGACATTTACTAAATTATTAGGTCATTTCAATCATGTGGCGATTCTTCATCATTTGAAGAGAACTATCCATAAACTAACATTAAATAAATAATAAATGAAACCTAACAGGTATTTGACCTCATGTATCATCTTCTTTATGATTCATGAACAGTGTATGCAAATGAATTTAATGGTTGATCTGATTTTTGTCAGATGATTCATGAAATTGCAAATGAGGATTTCACGTTTCACTTCTCATCTTATTTGTATTTATTTGTTCGGGTTAGAACAATCATAATCCGGTCTTTTGATTTATTCAACAATCCATCTTATCCTGTCTATTTCAGTGTGTATGTTGATTTATTATCCAACATTGATACATCATAGAGATTTTAAGATAAATTTTCCCTTATTTGACTTTTTCAACAGTATAAAGTGAGTAAAGTCATTGATATAATCATAATAATGGCAATATGGGTTTATTATATTGATATTGCTAGATTAAAGGTAATCAACAATTATAAGTAAACAGATGGATCTTGTAAGTTTCAAACCCGGATCATCCAGGTCGTAAATTAGATGTTCGATTTATGGTAGTTGTTTGTAGTGCCGACATACGCTTAAATACAAGTAAACACAAGTAATTAATGAATTTCAAGAAAATCAAAAATCAAAATTCCATAGACTCCAACATCAAGTTCTCAGAAAAGCTTTGTGAATACATTTATTGTTACTTATCACCGTCGAGGACAATAGCTCTTCTGTTAAACTTTCGAGTTCTAAGAAGTTAGCCTAACATTCTAACACTACTACCCACATTCAACTTCGTCATGAGGAGTCGGTTAGCCTTGAGAAAAATCTAATAACTCGAAAGTGAGTATATAAACTCCTTACTTGGCAGATAAAGTTATACTTACAACTTTCGACGGCTTGAATGCAACTAGACGATTTGGACTTCACAGATCACCTAGCCCTTCTATCCAATACATACCAACAAATACCGGTCAAGACAAAAAGTGTACCAGCAACTTCTGAATCAGTAGACCTCAACAAACACAAGGTAAAAAGCAAGATCCTCAAATACAACATAGTGAACATCGACAAAATCAATCACACTCGATGGAGAAACATTGGAACAGGTGGACACTTTCACGTACCTGGACAGCATCATCAATGAACAAAGATGACCCTATGCAAACGTAAGGGGAAGGGTTAGTAAAGTAAGGGCAGCTTTCTTACAACTAGAGAACATATGGAACTCAAAACAACTGTCTGTCAGTCAATGTCAAAGTGTGAATCCTCAATACGAACGTCAAGACAGTTCTACTGTACGGAGTTGAAGCTTAGAGAACTACTACAATCATCATCATGGTGGTACAACTATTTCTAAACATTTGTATACACAAGATACTCGATGTTCGTTGTTAGAATCCCATCAGCGATAACCCACTGTGAGAGGGAATAAATAAGCTTCTATCTGATAGTAAACTAGGAAAAGACAATGGAATTCGATAGGGCATACATTACGGAAACCATCATACTGCATCACAACGCAACCGCTAACTTGGAATAGTGAAGGGAAACGGAAAAAAGAGAAAACAAAAGAACCCATTGCATCGAGAATTGGAAACGGACATGAAGAGGATGAGTAGTAATTGTAAACAAGGGATTGTCCAGGACAGAGTTAGATGTACAATGCTTGTTGATGATCTTTCATCCTCGACGAGGGGTGACAGACGTAAGTAAGTATGTCAAAAATTTCTAAATCAATTAACAATGAATAATTTAATCAAAAGAATTATACATGAAAATCTTACTTATTTCACAATATTCTCCGGTAAAATCACGTGTACAACTACAATTGAATGGTTTTGAATATGATGAATTCAAATTTCTACATATTCCATTATTTAAACATGGTTGATGTCGTCCACAGTAATCCAGATCTATGTATTCATTTAGTGAATAATGAAACAGAAAATAGAATTAGAATAGAATACTCTATTGTGTTATTTGTATTGATGTACATGAATGAATCATATAAGTAAGTATAAACCTATGGTGTTGACATGAAATAGTTTCATCTTGAATTCAGTTAACACTAAAGGTTGCCGAATAGAAAGTTGATTAATTCTGTCTGATTGACTACGTTTAATAACTCAGTAAGTTGGCTACTGCTTGAATAGTCTAAGTGAGAATATCCTCTAACTATAAAAATCAGGATTTGAACTTTACAAGAAGCATCAATTTCTCCAAGAGCACAGATATATCTAGTTACTAGGGGGGGGGTCAACTAGTATAAATTTATCTTAACACCTTCATACTGGTTGATTCTAACTTAATGATATTTAGTGAAGTACTCTGTAATATTAGATCATTCACAATGGTGATTAAATTAAAGTTTCACATGTGATAGCATTCTGTTATAACTCATAAATGGATCCCAAAAATTACCATTCATTATGCTTATCGGGACCTAACACATTGTTTGAGAGATGCATCATAAATCTAATTCTTAATAAGAACATGATGATACATTATGAAATATCAGTATAAGATTGTGGAGATTATTAAGCTTTTGATTAAGATCATGAACCGATTGATGTTAGATCACCATTGAAATCCTGGATGCACTGAAAGTCCGTTTCGTCCTACCATGAGACTCCTCAGTAGTGCGTATCCACGAGCCCGCCCCGCCAAGACCTTCAGCCTTGAATGCGGACGTCTAACCTCTAGACCGGCATCCAAAGGTATTTATGTCTAACCTCAACGAAGCCTGCGAGCGGGATCATGAATGAGCACTGCTGAGGAGTCCTAAAATAAGACGAAACGGCTATCCAGTACTTCCAGTTTTTCAATGGTGATCTGACATCAATCGGTTCATGATCTCAATCAGAAACATTATGAAATGGTTTCTATACATGTAATCATGTAATCACACATAACTATGTAATATTCATTACTTAAATCCCTAAAAAGTAGGTATATCTTAAACAGTTTTCTATATTTGGCCTTGTGAATTCGTTAATGTATTGAGGAAAGCTGATTTTTATTATTATTATTATTATTATTATTATTATTATTATTATTATTATTATTATTATTATTATATCTAACATTAACTGACCTTGATCACAAAATGATCCACCCCAATTAGGTAAACAACGGCATGTAAATGGTGCATCATTACATGTTCCATGTTTACATCCTGGATATTTTATACATTCATCACAAAGTGGACCTTGCCAACCAGTTGAACAACTTATAAAGAAAGATAATGTATAGAATGAGTAAGTGAAAAATGAAAGTTATTATGAATAGAACTAAACAGAAAAAAAAACAATAAATGTGATAAATTCACTTGGTATTGTTTGCTTAAATCTTCCCATCGAGGTTTAAGACTCCAATTGATCACTCTCTTGTTGACATATATGTATCCTGTGTGTATTGCCTCGATATCGCCTTAATTCACAAGCATTTTAAGCAAAGATAGATACTGGTTAGCAGTGGAATACAGGACACGCGTTCCATCCTATTTGGGACTGGTCAACTGGATGTACCTACATCTCAGAGTTGATGTTCGCTCTGGGACTCGAACTCAGTACCGTTCGCTTCAAATACCATCGTGCTGTCTACTTAGCTAGTGAGTCCTGATAACCACTTACTTTTGCAATGGGATGAAGTTTAAATTCACTTAAATTTGTTTGTTTGCATCTTCCTATTGATGTTTAGAACTGCAATTGATCAATCTCTTATTGCTATATGTGCATACTATATATCGAGGCAATCAAGGAAGACTTAAGTAAACAATACCAAGTGAATTTAAACTTCACTTTATTGCACAAACAAATGGCTATCAGGACTCAGTAGTTAAGTGGATAACACGATGGCATTTAAAGTGAATAGTACTAGGTTCCAGTCTTGGAGTGAACATCTACTCTGAGATGCAGATACATCCAGCTGACGAGTCCTAAATAGGATGAAACGAGCGTTCTAGATTCCACTGCTAGCCACTATCCATTTTTGCTCTTAATATATGTGATGTTATGCTTGTCTTTATCACATCTGCTGAATGACTTATACTAGTAAGAATTTATTTGACTCTGTAAATATTATTAATGATCAGGTTACAAGTACACCTTGTGTACAATCCAAAGGTGTTTATCAATATATTAATTACATTATAAAGCCTTAAATATGGTGTTACTTTTAATTCATATAATCATGTTGACAACAAACGATCTTATAGATTCATAATAATTTTCTTTTTGATTTAAAGTTTTATTGTTCAGATATTTTAATTAGGCAATTAGCCGAATCTCGGCTTTCATCCTGGGAGGCATCATCGATGAACAAGGAAGATCAGATGTACACGTGTTGGCAAAGTAAGGGCGGCATTCTTACAACTAGAGAACATATGGAACTCAAACCCACTGTCTGTCATCCAATATGAAAGTAGGAATTTTCAATACGAACGTCAAGACAGTTTTACTGTACGGAGTTGAAGCTTGGAGAACTACTACAACCATCATCAAGAAGGCACAAGTATTTATAAATAGTTGTCTACGCAAGATACTCAATATCCATTGGCCGGATACCATCAGCAACAGCCTAATATGGGAGTGAACAAATCAGCTTCCAGTTGAAGAGGAAATTAGGAAATGACGTTGGAATTGGAAGCGAAAAAGCGGAAAAGATGAAGGCCAAAGAACACATTACGTCGGGAAATAGAAGCAGATATAAAAAGGATGAATAAAAACTGGAAAGAGTTGGAAAGGATTGTCCAGGACAGAGTTGGGTGGACAGTGCTTGTAGATGACCTATACTCTTCCATGAGGAGTAACAGGTGTAAGTAAGTAAGATAAGCAGAGCTACAAAAAGATGTCGACCACCGGAATCAACACACACCTCGATGGTTACACATTCTTCATCAGCGTGAGATGACGTCAAATATCAACCGAGATTAATAAATTCAATTCTAAATATATATATACAACAATAACATCCAATAATAAATATCCTTTCTTGTTTCTTCTTGTAGGCTTGATAACTCAGAATGAGTGTCATAGTTATATTCACAACTATAGTGACCAATCGTAACTTAATTGTAAACATTCACTACTCTGACTCAATTTAATCTAGATGTGATTTGACTTTATCTAACCATCAATTAATGAAAACTATATTCTTCTTATATAAATATGACTGATGATCATAATTATTGATTTTACTGAATTAACAATTGTTACTCAATATGTGTGTGTATGTTTTACTCTTATCCTTTGTAACTGATTACATAACCACAACGAGCAATGCTGACTAGTGTTGGAGACAGTTGAAAAAAAGTTAGGGGTGACCAAATCAAAACGTGGCGTCATTGTTTGAAGTCACTAAATTCTGGTCTGAGCCATATCGGTAGATGCGGACTACCTGGTTGGGGTCCGCGTGACTATCGTAACCAATGGTTGGATATTGTGGGCGACATGGCTCACAATTGATCACAATGGAGTAGGTGTATACACTCTCTATCTTCCCTTAAACTATGAGATTGAAATCACTTCATATCTTCCTTTCTACGGACTAATTCCTTCTTACTGTGCTGTATCCTTATACACAATCTTACTTTTATATATTACTACCATTGAAGTCACTACTTTTATCAATTTGGTGTTCATCTTGTTGTGCTAACAAGGTATGGCAACTTCGACTGATGTATATATGTGCCTGTTCCTATGTTGTAGCTGACTGACTAATTGATATTTCCTTCGTATTCTGGTACTCAGCATGTTAATTAAGATTTTAGAGATAGATTAAGTAGTAAACATTAAATTAAGTTTCCTTATTACCTCTCTAGTTGCACCCAAACTCTGATTAAATAGCATTACGGAACAGAATTGAGAAAGATACCTGTAGATATATGAAATTCTACATTGACAACATTCGATGAACTAATTTCAATTAGAATCAAATGTAAGCAATGATGGATAGTGGCTAGCAGTGGAACCCAGTATGCACGTTTCGTCCTGTTTAGGGCTGGTCACAGTTGGATGTGCCTGCATCCCCGAGTTGATGTTCACTCCGGGACTCGAACCGAGTACCATTCGCTTCAAACGCCATCGCGTTATCCACTTAGCTACTGAGTCCTGATAGCCATTTGCTTGTGCAGTGGGGTGAAGTTCTGATTCGAAACGTGCAAACTGGATTCCACTATCCATCATTGCTTACAAATAGCTTGCGAATTATGGCAATATCGAGGCAATCTACACAGGATGCCAGCAACACACTGATCAATTGCAGTCTTAAACCTCAATGGGAAGGTACAAGCCAAGCAATACCAAGTGAATCAGAATCAAATGTGTCTTTTAGATTTCACTGTTAACTACTAATTTAATGACTAGAGAAGTGACTAGTGTTTTTCTATCCATTTAATTTGAATGATGTATATATCATATATACAATTTGGATAGATATTTATACTCTATTCACTCATCAATAACATTCATTTATTTATTATGTCCGCTTTTTGTTTTACCAGCAATTGGGAAATAGAAAACAGTATAGTGCTATGGAGATGGTTAAGTTTTGATTAAGATCATGAATCGATCAATGTGAGACTACCGTTTAAAACCTGGAAACATTGGACTCTTGTTTCGTCCTAGTATGAAACTCCTCAACAGTGCGCACCGTAGTGAACAGAACACGGGTGGGGACAATCGAATGTATTTAACACAAAATTAAAGGACTTGTTAATATAATCTAACAATCAATCATAAAGTAAATACGTAATTTGTAAAATATCTATCAATTGTCTCAAAATGACTCAGACTTCATTGTTCTTACATTTTCACACAAATTGCATTCTGTTCCCATTCTTTACTGTTCGATCCCCTTGTTTCTCTGCTGCCAGACCTTCTGTTCAAGACTAATATCACATACTACTTATGTCAATATAATTAGCACATACCACATGCATCATTGGATACCGGTCCAATGATCCAGAGATTAAATGTTCATGCATGAAATCAAAGATTCCGGGTTCGAATCCCGCATACGGAATCGTGGATATGCATTGTTGAAGAGTTCTATACTAGAACGAAACAGCTATCCAGTGTTTCTAGATTCTCATTATTGGTTTAGCATTAATCGATTCCTAATCTCAATCAAAAAATGTGTCAGAACAGTTATCAGTTTATCAACAGTAGACAAGTAAACAAGCCAAAAATATTTTGACCAACAATTTTAATTATCATTTTATTACAGTTCTATAAAGGAAAACTAATCAATGTATATTATCGGTAATTTGTTTATTTGCTTTCATTTTGTAAAAAATTATATTTTAGGGGGAGGGGGGCGAGGAGGTGTAGGGTGATAATTACTTCACTCGAAAAGAAAAGAAAAAAAAATTAAAAATTGATTTAATAGTTGAGTTGATGAGTCGATTAAAACTAGGCTACCATCATGGAAAACCTGAAAGTATTGGACGGTTGTTTTGTTCTAGTATGGTACTCCTCAGCAGTGCCTATCCACAATCTCACACCAGAAAGAACGAGAACCCAAAGTCTCCAGTTTCATATGCGAACACTTAACCTCTAGACCGTTGAGCCGGTATCCAAAAGTGTTGATGTTTAACCTCAATCAATCCACGAAATTGCGCGACCATCTTACATTGTACTAAGGTAGATACTTGTCTCTACCCGATAAGGATTAGCTCCACTGGTTTAGAGGTTAATCATTCGCGCGCGAGACTGAAGGCTTTGTGTTCGAATCCCTTCAATCGTGATCGTGAATGCGCACTGCTAAGAAGTCTCACAATAAGACGAAATGGCTGTCCAGTGCTTCCAGGTTTTCAATGGCGGTCAAACATCAATCGGGTTCGTGATCTTAATCAAGAACTTAATAATCTCTACAACCCAATACTGATAAATATAACATTGGCCACTACTCAATGACTAATCAGTTTTTTTTCTATATAATTAGTCAATCTTTTTTAAATTCATTAGAGATAATCATCAACTTACTCGCATTCTCCTGGTCTTGAACAAGTTCCATGAACTGGATGACAACCAATATTGCATATTGCTAAGTATAAAACATATGGAATATAACAATTATCATATAATTTATATTTAATTATTTCAGTCTATAATATCTTTAAATTATTCAATAGAATAATTAACAATATTAATGAAGATTATGTTTTATCTGTAAGAAGTTCTATTTTCTTATTGTTTGTATTGGAAACAGCCCGACCGTTGTTGCTACCTTGACGTGATGGTCGGGCTTGCCTATCGTGATGAACCAGTTGAGCTATACTGGTTGGAACAGTCGTTCCTCATGGTCCTACCATACCAGACAGGTAGGTTGAAGAGCGGTAAGACTAAAAGTAACAAACCCAAGGTCCAAAGGCGAAGTCGTACTGCTAACTGTACGGAGGTGTGACGGTAGTAAGGTGTTTCCTTTAGACAACCAGCGTAACAGCGATGCTGCGTGTGGGGTTAGAAAAGGTCGACCCTAGGAATACACACACCGCCTTATCCCAAGATATCCATCTCCGGTGGTAGGGTCTCAACAATTACTGAGCTAACGCGAAAATTACCCACAAAATTTTCGTGTCTGACCGTCCTCAGGCAGTTGTCGCTTGGGCACTGCAGTCACGCTCTCAGGTCACTAAGACCACCACCAGTCCAATTTCCTTTTTAGATACCTCCATTGGAAACAGAGTTGGCTCAATCTTTGTTGACATACGAACTCATTTAGTCAATGTTCTCATATGATCCCTTTGAATAAATACTGATAATATTTTAGTTAGTAGATAACATTGAAATCTAGAATGGATATTTTATTATAGTGGGAACTAAGTTAATGGGATATACATGAATTGGTATTGGTATTTACTCTAAGAGTCGAAAATGGTAACTATTACGCAACACATAGTAGTGCTATTCATTAGACTATTGAATTAAGATAGCCAGAAGACTGGTTTAAACCCTAATGGGAATGTCAACACTAGGGAACAGGCATATCAAACTGACAAGTTTCAACTGGAACCAAACATGTATTCTGATTTTCTCTACTAATCACCGTGAATGACTTCATTTTTGTTTCCTTGATTTAAAGTTTATTACCATGAACACATCATAATAAGTTTAAGACTGACTGCTTTGAAGTGTGATCATAAATAGAATATCTCTGAACAAATGTAATTAGTTACATTTGTTTCAAACTTGCTCAAATTAATTGTCTATTTGGATATGAAGTTCAAAAGAGAATTATTAGATACTAAGTCAGTGAGCAGTCATGAGTGCGATCCCTGATGAAATTGTCAGAGCCCATTGTTGATAAGTTTTACATTGCAATAATAAATAGTCTGTTTAAGTTCTTTATGGTTAATAATGATTATACCATCAACAACAGTCTGTTGTGGGAGAGAACATATCACCTTCCAGCTGAGGAAGAAATTAAGAAAAAAACGCTAGAAGTGGATAGGAAATACATTGAGGAAATCATCAAACTACATCATGAAGCAAGCGCTAACTTGGAATCGTGAAAGGAAATGGAAAAGAGAAAGAACAAAACAACACATTACATCGGAAATTAGAAGGACAGATCCAACTGTAAACAAGTGAAAAGGATTGTTGAGAATAGAGTTGAGTGGAGAATGTTAGTGAGCAGTTTATACTTCTCTAAAAGAAGTAACAGGCGTAAGTAAGTAAATGAGTATAATGATTATCTAACTCACTATTGTTAATTCTATAATATAAATCTATTCTTATAAAATTGTTCAATAGTTACACATCATCTAAATTACAGTTTGTTTCGCTTGTTTTCTTTATCATATAAAAAATGGTACAAAACAAGAAAAACATTACCATTGTTACAAGAAGGCACCAAATAGATATGCACCACATAAATCATTCGATTTATGTGAGGGCTAGAATACTGACCGGGTACTCAAAACGAAGTAGGTGATTTCCCTAGGGGGTCACAACCGGAGCCTTTGACAAAAAAGTCTGATCCACAAGACAATGGAGCAACATAAGGAGATGCAGTCCCATGGTATCCGGTGAACAACAATTGGTTCATGCACCATTTGCTCCTTCAGCATACTGGAGCCCATGTACACCATTGGTTTGGAATGAGGGTTTTCCTACTCCCATAGGTGGACTATCCATATCCACCAACCTGGTTACAGCGCTAGACATTCGATTTTCGTCCTCTGAATTTCATAAACAACAGTAATGCCGCTAAAGGTTAGTGAGTAGGAGAATTGACTCACTTCACTCTCGACTGTACCAAAGCATTTGGGGGTAATAGTTGTTTAGATAATAATAAAATAAAAATGTCACTAGTTTAATAAATTTAAATCTTTTTCATTACAATCGTCAATATTTTTCTTTTTTTTGTTTTTCTCTCTTCTTTTTTTGTTTTTCTCATTTCATAAACTTTGAAAATTGAAAATGGAATTTGTCTTTTGATTTTATGATTGATTATGAAGGAACAAAATAAAGTGAGAGAGGGGGGGGTAAAGAGAAGGAGTAAAGGAAAGAAAAGTTCAGAAGTGATTTTTTTTTGCAAAAATAACCGAAAAAAAAAGGAAAAAAAAGGAAAAGTAAATTAATATTTAAATTCACTTGGTGTTGTTTTTTTTACTTGTATCTTTCGATTGTTACTTAGGGACTGAAATTGATCAGTCTCTTGTTGGTATATAAATATCCTGGGCGGATTACCTTGATATAGCCTTAAATCACAAGTTTTTTTTTTAAGTAAAAATGGTTAGTGGCTAGCAGTGGAATACAAGATGTGCGTTTCGTTCTATTTGGGACTTATCAGCTGAATGTGCCTGCATCTCAGAATTGATGTTCATTCTGAGACTCGAACCCAGTACCATTCGCTTCAAACACCATCACGTTATGCACTTAGCTACTGTACTAAAATATGGGTTAAATGGATGATATAATATAGCAGCTATCCTATAACCAATTTCTATCATGGTTAATTTTTGTTAGGCCCTCTCATCAATCTACTTAACAGACAATGTTATTTGAACTGTAACAATACGTCCATTTCTTTGTACTGTTATGATCACTAGAGCACATGACGAACTCGAGCTTAAATGTTGATCGCTTAAATATCACTCGATGATTCATTCTCCTCTCCATGTGCATATGTACTTAAATCCTATTATTAGTTTTTGCTTTGGCTTGCTGTGCCCTTATGCAATTTGATGACTATAAATTTGCCTATATATTTGCTCATATATACTTATTCGCCTCTCCTCTTCAAATTCGCTTAATATGCTTATAGCTTTGTGATTTGGGCTATTCGCTAATAAACTGTAGTTGCCGCTTCTCATTGCTTTCTGATTTCAAACACCGTTGAGTTTTATACTATAACGGCTATTGAGGCGGTCGATTAACGAAGCAAAGCCACTACAATAATATCCAAATGAAATCCCTTAGTTTATTCAACACTGATAGCTGTTGCCTCAATTTAAATAACAACACTTCAACCTGTATTACTTACAATATTTCATTTAAAAGAGGGAAGAATATGGCTCTTGTCAAGTAAATTTTAATTATTCCCAGCGTGAGGGTGTCGAAAATATGATACAACTAAGTATGTCAGCATTATGAACAATGATGAAACTAGAATCAAACTAAATAGTAATCAGAAGGTATTTTGTGGATATTGTAATAATAATAATGATTGAGTTCATAAGTCAATTGAAGCCAAACCAACTTGGATGCCAGCCCAATGGTCTAGAGGTTAAGTGCTCGCGTGCTAGACTGATAGGTCCCGGTTTCGAATCCTGCTGAGTGGTATCGTAGCTGCTCACTGCTGAGGAGTCCCATACTAGGACGAAACAAATGTCCAGTGCTTCCGAGTTTTTTATGGTGGTCTCGCTTCAAATGACTCATAAACTCAACCCTTAGATGGTAATCACTTAGAAATTAGTTAGGGTCAGTCTAATAACTTGTATTCATGATTACCCATCTGAACAATATTTACATCACACAAATAGGCATGAAAAATAACTGGTTATATTCATCACAGAATAAACTCATCAAGGATCACCAGACAACTGGTTGGTCTTAGTATGAGACTCTATAGAAGTTCACACTCAAAACCCAACTAGCCATCGAACCCAAGAACTTCATATCCATAATTTAAATTATTGCAGCCAACAGTCTCTATAAACTACCTACAGTAATAATGATAATAAGGCAAACGCTTAGTCATTTGAACCAGTGGGTCGGTGCCAAATAGTACAATTTCAATTTCAACAAGCTTTCCATATTTTGTTTAATGATTATCCAGTCCTATTAATGATAAATGTCTCATCCCCGATGTGTCCGAATTCCACCAGTTATGATTTCTATTGAATATGTATTACTAGGTTGTTCTTTACTGGCACAAAACACTTATCTAGATCATCTTGGTTTTCTGTGATATCTCATATGAGATCGATTTGTGACGGATTCTACTTACAAATTAAAAGATTGTAGAAGGTTAAAGATAGACAAACAGAATAATAAACAATTCATTCAATTACCTTTATCGCATTCAGTTCCACTCCAACCAGGTTCACATATTTTATCACCATTTGCATCACATTTAAATTTTGTATGATTATCATTTGTTTGACATACTTTTGTACAATCATTACCATAATGATTTAATTCACATGTTAATTGTATACAAAATGTATAACCGGAATATTGTGTTGATATAGTAACCTGATGCCAATCTGTAGATTGTTTTGTAGAAGAAATTAATGGACGTAACAGACCACGATGTATAGCTCGATCAATTAAATATTTTTCATTTTGATTAACTAAATCATATGCTTCTAATATTACTGTGAATAAACGCTGGAAAAGATAATAAACAAAGAGAGGGGAAAAATTTATATTTGTCCATTTATTTATTTATTTAGAGATAGTAGATTGAAGATAGAAATCCATCCCCAAATACTCTGGAACGGCCGACAGTAGAGAGAGTCAACTCTCCTACTCACTAACTTTTGGAGGCATTACTGTTGTTTATGAAATTCAGAGGACGAAAATCGAATGTCTGGCGCTGTAACCAGGTTGGTGGATATGGATAGTCCACCTATGGGAGTAGGAAAACCCTCATTCCAAACCAATGGTGTACATGGGCTCCAGTATGCTGAAGGAGCAAATGGTGCATGAACCAATTGTTGTTCACCGGATACCATGGGACTGCATCTCCTTACGTTGCTCCATTGTCTTGTGGATCAGACTTCTTGATCAAAGGCTCTGTGTGTGGCCTCCTAAGAAGGTCACTTACTTCGGTCTGGGCATCCGGACAGTATCACAGCCCAATCACAAATCGAATGATTTATGTGGCTCATATCTATTTGGTGCCTCTTTGTACCATTATTTATGTGTTCAAATAAATAAATAAAATGAAATAGAAACCTGCTTTACGGCGAGACTCTAATTTATGGACGACCTTTGAACGAATTTTAAGTGACCTTGAGAAACATTAGTTAATGAGAAAACAGTCAGTATAGAGTAAAAATATGTTATACAAAACCAAAGAAATAAAGTGGATACACTTCTTAGACGTGGTTCAAAAACTTGTCATGGTTAGAAAGAGGTTCAGAGGTTCTAAAATCCTAATGCATGCAGTAGAGGAAATCATCCATATGGCTACAGAATAGTCGGCCTCTGGAGTCATGATAAAGTCTCAAATACTCTTTCAGCCTCGACCATATAGCTTCAATATTGTTTATGTGCACTCCGGTTGTTGAGTGCACGAAATACTACTTGTGGATAACGACACGATGCACATAACCAAGCCTATGTAGGAGTCTGTACGCTCTCCAAACATCCGTATATATTGTAGTACCTGGCTGCAGCCAGTGTTAATGGTGCTTTTATTATCCAGTTCGCAATAATTGTCGTAATTTGCCTTGGTTAGCAATTATATATGGGTTTTTCATCACGAACTGACATCAGCGATAATGCCAGAAATTTTATTTAGCCAAATGGATGAAAGGCTTTCACGTTATAATCCGAGATCTATTATCTTATACCTGATTGGTTCGTCCACAAGTTATAGTCTCGCCGTTTTACTTGTTATGGCCGCTCAATTATCACGTTTTGTACAAAATTCCATGTGAACCGATCGTACGTTAGCATTAAGCACTGAAGTTGGCACCGTAACCTTGAAATCTCTAAAATGCTTCTGATTGGCTCGTCCATAAATTAGAGTTTCGCCTACTTTACTGTTGATGTTGAATGACTCTTAAAATGACTGGGAAAAAGTAATATCTATCAAATCTTAACCAATCAGAATAAAGGTGATGTAAATGAATAATTACTCAAATAAGACCTCAAAAATACGTTAAGATTAAAATTTTGAGCCTTCCCAATCTCCCAATGTTGGGGAAGTGGTACCAAAACCCCAAAATTTCTCCCAGAATCCTATTATCATAAGCCGATTGGTTTATGATTTAGGGCTAATGGTAAGAGGGAACAGTAGTGTTTACGAATAACTTGGAAAAAAAGCTTTAATTGTGAATAATTTTAATTTAATGTTAGTCTTATATCCATTCCCATTCCATTTGGTTTCTATTAATTCCTTCATAGAAAATTCATCACATTCTTAACATCATTAAAAGAATCCTTGAAATCAGTCCCTATTCTTCAAACTAATCATATTTCTTAATTTGATTTGTCTTGGTAACTAAATGTTCATAAAATGTTACATATATCTTACTTTTTAATAAGATATAAGTTATCCGTCACTGCATTTTGAATCGACAGTTTGCTATCTTAAATCTGATTGGTTTGTTAACAAGTCATACTTTTAATGAATAGTAAAGAAGTTCGTAAAGATTTATGCTTAATGTGTAACTAATTTGATATGAAATTGAATTATTATTGAATATGAAACATGAAACAATTGTGTCAACTAGTTTTGATGTGCTCATAATGAAGTAACATTTGGTCCGAATAAGCTGATATTAGAATAGATGCATGAATAAACATTATTTGATAGTACTTCAAAGTTAATTAAGCATGATCAAATGTATTCTCGAATTAAGAATATTTGTATATTTGAACATATTTTAGTGTTAGCAACAGTCATATGAAAGATTTACCTAACAACAGATTAAGTGGATACAAATACTTTTTTATGATTCAATGTTTAGTTACTATTGGACTATTTTGAGCTAAGTGTTCGGGTTATCAAAGATAATGAAGTTGGAATGTATTGGTTGTTTGAATCTTGTGAGGATTCCTTCGATATTATCTTAAGTCAAAAACATTATAAACGGCAATGATGGTGTCCATTAATGGAATTCAGGACGTTCGTTCCATTCACTCTAGGACTCGAACCCAGTACCGTTCACTTAAAATAACATCGTGTTATCCATTTAGCTACTGAGTGCAAATAGTCACTGACTTGTGTAACGGGATGAAGTTTAATTCAGTTTTGTATTGGCTATCAGGACTTAGCAGCTAAGTGGATAACTGGATGGTGTGTGATGCGAACGGCACTGGGTTTGAGTCTCGAAGTAAACATCAATTCTAGGATGCAGGTACATCCGGCTGACGAGTCCCGAATAGGATGAAATGCACATCTTAGATTCCACTGCTAGCCATCATTAACTCTACTTATAATTTAATAAATAGTTTTTACTTGTTCTAAATCGACAAACATTTGTCTAAGACGTTTTGTGAGGTTATGTGTTTGTAATTTGGACATGATTTTCCTCATAAAATGAAAACAGATTGACTACATTTTAAAAACCAAAGCAGATTAAGAATATTTCTATTTCAAAGGTAATCAAAACTGGAATTTTATGAATATGGAGGTGAATGAACTATTTTGTCAAACTAATGATGTTGAACAATGTGTACTGTTCAGTTGGCAATTCAAGAATTTAAATGTACAGTGGTTACTGAGAGATTTGAAGCTGACTGGTACAATATATCACAACAAGCCTTTAACCTTCATTATAATACTGAGTTAGAATCAAATCTCTTTCGTCTAATCATATACCGATCTATAATCACTAACCTCCAAATGCCCTGCTATGGCCGAGAGTGGAAAGAGTCATCTCTCTCTTTCACTCTCTCTCGAAATCCTCTCACATGGCCACGTGCATACAATCACTATCACGGAAGTCCTACTCACTGCCTTCTCGTGACGGTAGTGTTCTTTACAAAATTGAAAGGACGAAACACGAATGTCCGGAGCTTTAACCGAGTTTGTGAACACAGAGAGTCCACCTAAAGATGTTGGAAAACCCTGAATTCAAACAAATGGTGTACATCGGTTCAAGGACCCCGAAGGAACAAATGGTGTATGAACCTATCTTTGGACATCGGCAACTATTGGATTGCATCTCCTTACGTTGCTCCACAGCATTGTGGATCAGACCTTTAGATCAAAGGCTCCGGAAAGTGTTCTCCTAATAAAACTAACTATTTCAGTCTAGGGACTCGTGTAGGATCACAACCCCCACATAAATCAAATGACGAAGTGTGTGACATACGTATTTGTCGCCTCTATGTACAAATATATGTATAATTTCAACAGTTGAGATCATGAGTCAATTGAAGCTAGACCACCATGGACAATCTGGAAGCACTGGACGGCTGTTTCGTCGTATTGTGGGACTCCTCAGCAATGCTCATCTACGACACCGCCTCGCGAGATTCGAACCCAGGATCTATCAGTCTCGCGCCAGACGCTTAGCCAACTAGACCACTGAGCCGGCTGTCATCCGACGGCGTTAATGTCTCACTTCAACTAATCCACGAAATTGAGCGACACATCCACCAATATTTATATGTTTAAATATATAAATAAAATAATCACTTCATTGATTAACTTATTTTATATTTCAATCTTTAAGGTCAAAGTCAGTTCATTGAAATTGTATCTAACTCTTTTTTTTCAAATGAATAACTGTCTTCTCCTTCTTAATTTCTTTTTGTTGTTATTGTTACCCCCAAAAACAAGCAATCCTCACTCATTCATTCATCGAATCTAGTTTTTTTTTCTTTTTTTAATTTCAAATATTTGTTACTATGGTGGCATTGAAGACATCAAAATCAATTTTCTTTAAAAGAAAAAAATTATTGAATAATTAAATTTCCACCCTAATAAACACTTTCCTAAAAAAAACCAATAACACCACCATCACCACCACCACCACGATCACCACCACCACCCACAACAACAATAAATACAAATTACATCATATTCAATAAATAAAAAATAGGTAACAACAAAATTCATTTGAAATCAATCGACTGTTAAAAATAAAAATAAAAAAATTTTTTCTTCTTTGATAAATTTCAAATTCAATTCATGAATAAAACTAAAAAAAATTTTTCTCCAAACATAAAAAAATAAAAAAATTAGTAATAACGACAATGTCCTGTTTAATTAATTTTCCATGGAATAGGAGATAACACAACAAATAAACAAACAAACAATCATTCGGAAATGATTTGAGTCATTATTATTATTTATACCTTAGTTACAATGGATATAGATCATAAATAGAGGACATGGTGATATGTATACACACGTGTACACATGGGATCTAATTCATTTTCCTTGTTTCACTATCTTTTATTCCTTTTTCCTTTTTTTTGTTCAAGAAAAACAATCATCATTTGAATGTTCAATATCCCGCGAAATACAGATCGATGTATATGTAAACAGAAAAGAAAAGAAGCAGAAACTGAAGAGTTCGTTATTATTATTCTTATTTTGAAATAATTCAATGTATATTGAATATGACAAATGAATCAAATTTGAATAAAGGAAGTCCTTGTGTTTTCCTGAATTGATATTCCCTAGTGTGATCTAATTCATTACT